TGCAGAAGAAGAGGCGCTCTCTAACACTTTTAGATCATTCTGAGGAGGAATTAGTTTACGCTTTATTTGCTAAACCGAAAGAGTCTAACAAAACGAAATTAGTGACTACCTATAATCAAAGAACTGTTCCAAAACGAAAACCAGTGTAAATTGTAGACAATCTTTTAACTTAAAACTGTGTCTACCTGAAGATAAACGTTAGCGCTAGTTACATCATGTAATTTGTCAAAATGGCAATATCGCAAATTGAGATTCATTACAGGATACAATATAACTACAATATTTAAAGAAAACTCATTAATGATTGTGTGAGACCGGAGCCTGAGCTAGGTAAATGAATACCTGTGTTACAGGTCACAGTCATTCTCACTTCAGAGAGTATTTATGAGCTTCCATCCTATCAAAAGCTTCTGGAAACAAAAAAAACTTGTTATCCTTCAGAGAGAGATGATATTTGTGTGAGTAATCAATGATGGACATATTGTAAATTGGGCAACCTCTCGTATAAGCTACTTTTTGACGGCCAGCGGACCAATACATACAATGTTGTATTAAGTATTTCCCTTAATTACAAGCTTTTTTTTTTATTTTATTTTATTAAAAGCTGATGCATACGAGCGCGCGAGTGTGAGTCGTTGTTATGTGTCATCAAAGGTGTCCCTTTATACACCATATTGTAATTTTGGCAATTTTTCGTGGAAATATTTAATATAAAAAAATCGATTTTTCAACCCTCGATAACTCAAAAGTACGCAGAGATAAGTGACAAGTATCTTCGCATGAAATACTCAGAATCACTTGTTTTATAACATGTGTGATCGGCATTTTGACATCGTTTAAGAATTTCGAAAAATTTACAGAAACGTAATTTCTTCCATACAAAAAATATCTACATATTTTTTTTTACTACGAAATAGACGTCGTAGGATTGTAATATTTTTTTGCCTTATTAGTTATCATAGCAGTAACCATCAAAAAAAATTTCGTGCTTCTAGCATAAATGTCCATGTTTTATTAAATCGGGACCACCGTGCGTCGGTCCACCTAGTAGGAGGCCTACCCACGCAATGTCTTCCGTTCCGTGGTCGCCACTCGAGATCTTTTCTGCCCAAATTTTAAATTACCGCTTACTAACTTGTGCTACGACCAGCTTCGTGTGTCGAACTCTTTTAATTCAAAGACCCATAATATGTGTGCAAAGGACACAGGTGTTGCTGTAGAGATAGCAGAAAAATTGCACGGATCTTAGTCTTGCTAATTTTAAAAATATCACTTGCTAACTTCTGTTACAACTTTAGCTTCTATTTGAACTCTTCATCCAAATAACTTATTAGTTGTTTTAGGGCACTTATACAGATCCCAAATTAATATTAACTTTAATAAAAATGAAAAAATATTTTTTTAGAAACAGTGAAGGTCAACTGGTTGGGTTTTTATTGGCGGTCAAGCGATAAATCTTGGCTACACAGGAGTTGGAGTGCAGCGGTGGGAACGAGAGGTGGGAATAGTCCCGTCTGTTTTATTCCAATCATACACAGACATGCAAAAAAAGAAAAGATGCAATCAGAAATAGGTACTGAATTTTTTTTTTGAGTTAAAAATGCAAAATCTATTATGTGACATGGGTGTTAGATACGAGTACATACCCGCATAATATGTCATGTCTCGAGTGTCATACATAAGCTACATAATATTGTCTCGATAAACATTGCAATTAATCTCAAATCTGTATAATATGTATAACACACTTAGGTATCTATTCCAAAAATACCACAAGGAAATTCTTTAAAAATATTTTTTTATACAATAATTGTACTTTAATATGGGCGGACAACCCTCACAATCGGTGGACCGACGATCTGTTTAAGGTCGCGGGAAGTACCTGGATTCGGGCAGCACAAGACTGGTCTTTGTGGAAATCTTTGTTCAGCAGTGGACGTCCTTTGGCTGAATGATGATACTTTTTTATTCTTTAATAATGAAAATAACATAAACATAAAATAAAATATTTTTTATTAGTTTTTTTTTTGTTTTTGTCTTTTTTGCTGTCTCTCCCACATTTATGAATGCTACACATACTCATAATTTCTCTTCTACGAGGTCGCGTTGCATCAGAAACTACGTATTTACAAACAACTAGTTATTACTAGTTACTGCTTAATTACAGGACCCGAATGACGTAATATATTACAGTAGTTTCATACTAAACAAAAAAAAATCGATTTTAAGAATAATCTTCTACAACGAGTCAAGTTAACTGCGCACTTAGCAGCCGTGACGTCACATCGACGCTGTGTTACGGACGGAACGAACGCGGGGAGGTGTGCGGGTGAGTGCGCGGGAGAGTCGCATTTCAACGAGGTGCGCAGTTAACTCAAGCGGGTTGTAATCTGAACGCTGAGACCGTTATTATTTCAATTTTTCCTCATCGAATTTATTAGTGAAGGCTATCTTGGTGACAATATGTTTTGAACGCTTTATTTTAAGTAGGTTAAAGCAGAGATTCGAAGCCTTTTGTAAATTTATAGATTTCAGCCAACCATCAGGTTATTTAGTCTCCACTGCAGGAGCACGACCCTCTAATTGACCAGAGGCAAATGGAGAATTTGTCCTACACTCCCCACGCTGGCCAGACGGGTTGGGGAGGCCTGATGTTCGCATATTTGTCCTTTAGTTGCCTTTTACAGCATCCACGGGAAGAGTAGGGGTGGCCTTATTCTACCTAGACTAAATTCCCTGATGATTATGATGATAGTAACCACAATAGTAACCACGTCCACTGCTGAACATAACCCTCCCCCAATGATTTCCACATTGCGGTTGGTAGCAGCTTGCATCCAGCGCCTTCCTGCTACCTTTATGAGGTCGTCGATCCACCTTCTGAGTGGACATCGTGGCCTCCACTCCAGAACCTTGCTGCCCCATCGACTGACTGTCAGTTCTGCGTGCTAGGTGCCCTGCCCATTGCCACTTCAGGCTATGTCTTATAATATTTTACCTAGATACCTGCCCTGATTATGGTGATGATTAAATATTTATATATTTTATATAATTAAGTAAACTAATGCCCATTTTCACCATCAATTCCTAATTTTTAAGTGACCCCTATGGTAGGTAACACATGGAAATTTGTTTTCATATGGGTCACTTAAAAATTAGGGATTGACGGTGACAAAGGGCATACGTTTATTGGAAATTCTACGAGTTTAACCTTTTTCCATTGATATTTTATTTCAGCAATGTTGCCAGCCTCTGCATTCTCCATTGTGCAGCACATCATATTACAGTTATGCTGCAATAACAATCGTACAATGTGTGATTCGTCATACCAAACCAGGTCGTCTTTTTAGTGTATAACATTATCAAAATTCAATCGTATTATTGTTTGGCGACTTTGGTCCGACAGAGAACCGGAGTAGTCAATATATCACACTGAACTGGCAAGCTGAAGTGGTATTTATGGAGGGTAGTTGAACAGAAATCAGATTACAGCTGGTCACCAGTTTCCATTTTAACGATTTTCATTTATAATTATTTATTTTAAGCTTTTGGCCTGCTTCTCAGCTATGAAAAGTGATGGATAGACCGAAGGTGGAAGCGAGCTTCTCCCGGAATCCTCAACCATAGAGATTTTGTGTTCTAAAGTGTATTAAAATGATAAATTATTTAAAAACACAGCTACGTAGTGTGGGCAAGCCCGCCACTAGGTGGACCGACGATCTGGTGAAGTTTGCGAAAAGTAACTGGGTGTAGGCAGCGCAAGGCCGGTCGTTATGGAAATTCTTGGGGGAGGCCTTTGTCCAGCAGTGAACGTCATTTGGCTGAAACGAACGGATAACTTATTTTTCTTTTTCAATCTAATCGATTTAGATTAGAAAAAGACATTGCTGATAATGTTATAAAAAGTCACCAAGCTACTTATTACGAAATACGCAGCGTGGGACGTCCACCTATAAGGTGGACCGACGACATCGCAAAGGTAGCAGGGAAGCGCTGGACGCAGGCCGCTACCAATCGATCAACGTGGAAAGCATTGGGGAGGCCTATGTTCAGCAGTGGACGTCCTATGGCTGAAATGATGATGATGAAGCTAATTATTCAAAAACAAATTGAGGTAGAGACTTAAGAGCTTGGTTTTATGCCTGCCACAAGTGAGAACTAGTAAGTTCTTAAATAGATTCAGATTATAATAATAAAGTACACATATTATAACTAAAACGTACCTTCACATATCCACAAATAGACCAAACACCCACTCCCGCGCATCTGAATGACAATCTGACACAGTGACATTCAAGATGGCTCTATTGTTGACACATTACGGTCGATATTCGAGTGATACCATCTTGAAAACGAAAGCATCTTATTGTTGTACAGAGTAGGTACAGTCAGCGTCAAATAGTTCGGACCACAGATCACAGAAACTAAAGGGAGATGTGAAAAGGGGGCGGGGCCGGTGTCGCAGCAATATGCCCAAAAGCAGTTCACATTGCTTGCGTAGTACCTACTAAATATTATTCGAACGTTGAGTACCTACTGATACCGCAGTGGATAATGAGCACATATTTTGATTACTTTGTGTGTGTCAATTTCTAATGCGACACTGAGTTTCGAACTCAGCGCATTCGTTGGCATCTCTATATGTCTCTATGGTTCGGACACTTAAAGTGGCCAAAAAGTTGATAACACAATGGGATGTTTCCTGGTCAAAAAAGCAAGAGCATGATTTAGTCCGTCGGTTAACTTGTCAAAAAATACTCGATACGTATTTTTAACTTTTTAAAACTAATGAAAATTTAAAGAGATAAAGCGCGCTAAACTTCAAAAGAAGCCCGTGACGTCAAGGCGTGCTTAACAGTGTAGCACTTTGTGATGTCAACGGAACTTCAACGCATCATAACTTCGTAATTACTTGTTTGATTGACAAATAAAAATGTACGTGTCCAATATTTTTTGATAATGTACCTACTTAATTGACGGACTAAATATTTTTTAGGAAACTAGCCTATTGTAACAAAGACGTGTTGCGAACTTTTTGACGCTGAGTGTACATCAAAATAAACAATGTACCGTCATTTTAGTTGGAACAAAAGTGACTTTGGATCACATATGCGGTTGACTGTATATGAATGTTAAATGTCAAAGTTATATAGGCCTGTCGCCTTCCAAGAAGTGAGTAGAAATGAATCAAAAGGAAAAGGAAGCAGATTAATTTTGGGGTTCCGTACTTAAAGGATGCCAATGTTTACAAATGTGTACCTGCCGCCATAAAAGTCGTAATAAACATAAAAAAATATATAAATTATCGCTTTGGCCCGGCAGAGTAGAATAGACCCCCATTCTTCCCGTGGATAGCGTAAGCGGTGATTAAAGAACAAAATTAAATCACTTACCATCAGGTGACCCGTCTGCTCACAAATATGCGAGCATCAGGCCTCCCCAACCCGTCTGGCCCGCGTGGAGAGTGTAGGCCAAATTTGCCTCTGGTAAAAAAGAGAGGGTCGTCTTTCGTTTCAGCGAAATGCTGTCCACTGCTGCTGGCTTTCCACAACAACTGATCCTGTAATGTTTTTACCACCTAATGTTTTTCTGTTGAACTTGTTGTGTATCTTAAATGATGGCACGGAACCCGCCGTAAGAGTCATTCTCGCACTTGACCGGTTTTTTGAGGTTATACGTTACGAGATCGGAATTCGGATGTGAATGATTGTCGCACAATAATACTTATAACTTGATCAGCTTAAGCTGAATGCGTAACCCTTAAGCTTGTGACGATGTAAGTATATTAAACTTATTTAATTCCTGCTCCAAAAACAAGAAAGAAAACTTTGGAATGGCAACAATATTGGGACACAAGCTCCGCTAAACAAATAAAAACAAATAATAACAAAGTTATTCAAGGAAAACAAAATCTTATTTTTCGTCATTTATCTTCCCGTGGATGTCCCAAGCAAGAGGCAACTGGGACAAATATGCGAGCATCAGGCCTCCCCAGCCCGTCTGGCCAGCGTGGGGAGTGTAGGAAAAATCCTCCATTTGCCTCTGGTCAATTAGAGAGGGTCGTGTTCCTGCAATGGAGACTAAATGACCTGATGATGATGATGAATCATCAGTGTAAGTGCCAGGTCTTCAGATCTAAATGACTCACAGACTGATTTAAAAAGTTCATTAAAGCTTATCCTCACGCCGGCAGGTACGAGTATAACACAAAGAAAGAGTATTTTACAATACCATAAAATTAATGGGGAAAATATTAATAAGTAATACCAAAATAACTTTCGACAGATTTGCTTTTATGTTACATGCCTTACTGACACACAAATGAACGAATCAATTGACTCAACAATACCACTGTGACTTATTTAAACCAAACTAAACAGAACTAAACAGTATATTAAGTTATACCAGGTATAGTGTACACTATTACCAGGTTTAAATGACCTCTACTGCAGGAGCCCGACCCCCTCTAATTGACCAGAGGCAAATGGAGGATTTGTCCTACACTCCCCACGCTGGCCAGACGGGTTGGGGAGGCCTGATGCTCGCATATTTGTCCCTTAGTCGCCTCTTACGACATCCACGGGACGAGTGACGATGTTCCTATTCTTCTGATGGAACTATACTGCTGTATATTTAAAAGAAACATTCTTTATTCCGTAAACGAACTAAAGTCGCTGACATAGCCCGACGGATTAGCAAGCTGAAGTGACAATGGGCAGGGCACATAGTACGCAGAACTGACGGCCGATGGGGCAGCAAGGTTCTGGAGTGGAGGTCGCGTACCGGAAACGCAGCTTGGGACGTCCACCCACAAGGTGGACCGACGACATCATCAAGGTAGCAGGAAGGTGCTGGACGCAGACCGCTACTAACCGGGCAACATGGAAAGCATTGGGGGAGGCCTATGTTCAGCAGTGGACGTCCTATGGCTGAGATGATGATGATGATGATTCTTTATTCATTTATTTGTGATAAATACATATGATCATAGTTCGAGACTCATCTGAACCAGTTTTACTCAAGTGAAAAATTGTCTAGAATTTTTTGAAGATCTACTTAGACTTGATAATGATTTAACTACGGTTATCGTCCCCGAATCACTGTTACCGTTATTACGTTCAGACTATTAAATAAACCCATAAATCACCCAATAATAGTGTTGTTATAAAACAATATCTAATGGATTATCAACTCAATTAAATCTGATGGTCGTTAATCATTGTAGTCTAAGAGATAGACTTCAAGTTTATTACAAGAAACACACCATCAACTAGAGAAAAGAAATTTACAAAAATCATTAATAGTTCAAATCAGCTTTTTTAAATTCAAATTACCTATTTATTAGTAGGTTAGTGCATAATGTACATCCTTTTAGAGGTATACATACCTACCTAAGACTCAAATACATTAGCTTAATAAATTGGCCTAACCGCCATATCGTAGCTAGATCCGTGCTGCTTTGTAGACGGATCACTATAATTTTAAACCTTCTACTGCTTCGGGACAATCGTTGGGTTTTTATTGAAAAGAATTGCAGCGAAGGGAACGAGAGGTGGGAACAGTCCCGAGAAATCAATCATCAACTCGTGGGTTCGGTCACAGCTTAACAATGTTAATACAACAAGTTGATGGAAACAGTGACACGAATATTGGATAATATTGGATTTAAATGTCTATCTCCTAGACTAGGAAATAGTATGAAGAACCAACAAAGATGTTACCAAAATTAATTGAGTGGCAGCAAGTTTTACACTGCACGACACGACTTGAATATCCAGTTCTTCTGTGGTTGAGGATTCCATGTGAAGTTCGCTTCCACCTTCGGCCTAATCATCACTTTCCATCATTTCTCGCTGTGGATAAAAAATGGAGGTGATATTATAGTCTACTCTAGAAACGGAACGGACGGGAAAGCTGAATGTCAGCTAATTTAAAATTAGTAATCATGGGGCACACTGAAGACCCTTTCTTTCTTATTGTTATTATGTTCAACTGTTATGTCTCTTTATGTGCCTTTTTATCTTTGTGTGATGTCCATTATAAAAATTGTGTCTATAGCTTTAACTAGCGGCCGTCCGCGACTTCGTACGCGTGGCACCCGTTACGTTTTATCCCCTTAGGGGTTGAATTTTCCCGTCTTAGTGAACACCTACGTTCTAAAAGGAGCCCCATGGACTCCTAGCACTTTCAGTTTCTGAGAATTCGTGATGAGTGAGTCAATCAGTCAGTGACTTTTCGCTTTTATAGATATAGATTTTATTCCAATAACGTATCGTGTAAAAGCCCCCAAAGCACGCAAACCGATCGCTCACCGAACGATGCCAGTGTGTCACTTGTTTCTGGTGGGCGGCCATTGTGTGCGACTCTTCACCTTCAAAAGGGAAATCGTACTCATTTAGATAGAAATAGTTTAAGGTCCTATGCTTAGTGGTTTATGTACTGTCTGGTGTAAATTTGAACCATCAAAATATATTAGTTTTTATGTTAAAAAGCGAAAGGTCACTCACTCACTCATCACGAAATCTAAGAAACTACAAGTGCTAAGTCTTAAATTTTGCATGGAGGTTTCTTTTTTTTATCGAATAAATACTTTTCTTTCTTTCTTTCTTTCTTTCATTCTTTCTTTTAGCATGCAGGGGCTCAAAATTCAACTCCTAAGGGGGTAAAAACCGACTCCATGCGTACGAAGTTGAGGCCGCTAGTGAGGATATAAGTATATTACTAAAGTGTAAGAAATCCTGTATGTTTTATTCTAGATGTTAGATTATTTTCTTCTTTTTTCAGCCAAATGACGTCCACTACTGGACAAAGGCCTCCCCCAAGGTTTTCCACAATGAACGGTCCTGCGCTGCCCGCATCCAGGCTCTTCCCGCGACCTTTACCAGATCGTCGGTCCACCTAGTAGGAGGCCTGCCCACGCTACGTTTTCCAGCCCGTGGTCGCCACTCGAGAACTTTCCTGCCCCAACGGCCATCGTCTCTACGAGCTATGTGCCCCGCCCACTGCCACTTGATTTTAGCAATTCTGCGAGCTATGTCGGTTACTTTGGTTCTCCTACGGATCTCCTCATTTCTGATTCGATCACGCAGGGAAACTCCGAGCATAGCCCGCTCCATCGCCCTTTGGGTGACCTTGAGCCTTCTTATGAGGCCCATAGTAAGCGACCACGTTTCGGATCCATATGTCAACACTGGCAACACACACTGCTCGAAGACTTTCGTCTTGAGACACTGCGGTATTTCGGACATGAGTATATGGCGAAGCTTCCCGAACGCTGCCCATCCGAGTTGGATTCGACGATTGACCTCTTTCTCGAAGTTGGACCTACCTAACTGGACTGTTTGTCCCAGGTATACATAATTGTCAACAACTTCGAGTGTAGAGTCTCCAACCTTCAGAGGAGTGGGTGCAACACGGACATTAGACATGATTTTTGTCTTGTCCATGTTCATTCTGAGCCCCACTTGTTGAGAGGCTCTACTGAGGCCATCGAGCATTGTGCCTAGATCCTCCAAGGTCTCAGCCATGACTACGATATCGTCCGCGAATCGAAGGTGGGTGATGTACTCGCCGTTGATATTTATGCCAAATCCGTTCCAGGCCAGAAGCTTGAAGACATCTTCCAGGGCGGTGGTAAACAGTTTTGGAGATATGACGCCTCCCTGTTAGATTCTAGATTAAAATTAATTTAAGTAATTACATGATTCATTTCCTTACCTGGTTTTACCTAATCTTAACAAGTAAGTTTTATTATATTTTCCACAAAACGTATTATCGTTAAAAACTTTATAGAAGAAACAACAACTGTTAAGGAAGAAATTATTTTATTTGCTAGGAGCTTTTGATTTATTATTTTAATTAATTCATTTAAACAATCTTGAACAAAGCTTTTGAGATGGCGCCTTTCTTGAGGTCTTCTAAAGCTTTTTGATACTCCGAAAGCGCGTAAGTCTTCACTCCGAGCTTTTCGTAGTCTACGTATCTGAAACAAATAAATCATATAAAAATGTGTAGAGTGCTATAATTTGAAAAAGAGGTTCAGAATTATTGAGTTTTTAATCCTTCACCCTTCTCTCTCACTGATCCATCTGAATCTTAGGTTAATTAGATAACTTTTTGAGAACGTCGTGTTCCTACAGTAGGTAAAGACGCACAGGGTGACTCGAACCAATCACAAAGCTCTATTCAACGCTGTGCGTTCGATTTGCTGCTTCACTAAAGCAAGCATCGTTTATGAATTCTCTCTCCAGAAATCGACGTGAATAAATTTTCATTATTTGTCAAGAAAAATTCATACTGAAAAGCATGTAAATCCGTTAGCAACAAACATACTCGAAAACCTTCACATTTGTAATATTAGTAAGATGTAGGATTGGTATAATGATAAGATACAAACCTGCTACCCATCGCCTTGAGCCATCCGATGGCGCTAGGGAAACTGAAGGGGTTGATTTTCACCCCAATGAGGGTCAGCTCCTTGTCGTAAATCTGGAACGGATTCACCCTGGGGATGAAAAAGAAGTCATTAAAAATTTAATAAAATTTATAGACTTGGAAAAGATTTACTCTCTTATTAATAAACCCTAGTTGAACTCTGGCGTATGTTGTCATTTAGTATGAAAATATCATTTAATCCAGAGTTCATCCTAGGTGTAACTTTTTATTAATAAGGGGGCTAAGGTTTAGTTACATGTGCTTGCTTAAACACTAGCATGAAAGCACGTCACTATTGAGCAATTGCTACTTTGTAGTAGGGCATGTAATATCGGAAGGTTTTCAATTCCGATATTGAATTCCGATATTAGATCTCAATATCGGAATTCCGATATTAATATCGGAATTGAGTTCATGTGCTATAAAATTAATATTTGGTTATATTCGTAAGAATTCTGGATTGTTTACAATAAAATAATGATTGTTTACAATAAAATACTTTTACTCCTTCGTTATATTACCCTGTTTTATGTTGGCGGAACGAATTTTAGAGTCATTCATGCTTGAACAATATTTTCTACCTCTAAAATTTAAACAATTTAATTGAAACTTTGCCATTGAAAACTTAACATATTAGACTTATTTGTGTAGTATTCGACTTGAACCGTTAAATTCAAATTTAAGGATAATTCATAAAAAACTAAAATGTTCGTCACCTTCGTGGCATCACCTTCGTGGTGTTTTATACACGAAGGTGATTTTAGGCCACGAAAGTGATTTCTTGCTTTGGTTTATTTTAAAATATAGTGACTGGTGTTTATGTTTTTACAATATTTTAATAACTAATAAATTATACGTGGTAAAGTAGAGATCAGTACATCAATAAATAAATAAGGGCCTCGTATTTTTGTTGTCTGTCTGTATGACTGTATGTATGTCTGTATATGTGACTCTGTATCTGTTTGTAAGATAAATTCAATCTGAAGTTTGAGTTAAAAGTTGTACAACAAAAATACGAGGCCCTCTGGCCTAAATAAAAAATGTATTTTTGTTGAGGGACTGATAACACCGGTCAACAAAAAAAAATTTTTTTTTGCGCATGGATTTTACTTATTATATTCTGATTATATAAGCAAACGTATATAAAAAAGTGAGATTACAAATCGAAAATATTTGCTTTTTAAGAAGTTATAGCGATTTGAATTTTCCATCTTCATAGTAGAATGTCTCTCAAGATGCACGTCACATTCTCATTGGGATATATTTATAAATAATTATGGGGGCTTATTCGCAAGAACAAGGGGCACGCTTTCATCAAAATATAGTGGGATTTGAGAAACGACGTTACCAAGGCCTATACTGAAAGCATGATAGGGTTAGATTTTTATGAAAAAAATCTTCTATGGAACATGACAGGAAATTAGAACTTTTCATTTTTAATAAATATTTGGACTCTATTTTAATTTTTCTCTTGTGAGAATGAATCTTAAATGGATGTTTGTTATGTTTTAATAGTTAGAAAGAATGAAAGAAAGAAAGAAAAAAATATATTTGGCAACAAATTAAATCATCTCTATGTTCATGTTTCATGCATTCATTGGTATGAATTTTTCTATTTTTTTACACATAAAAGCAAATCCAGAACAATTTTTTGTTGTTATTCTTGTTTCTAGTTTATAAAGCAATAAAAATAAGCTATGCATAACCCGTGCGCAAAAATACTGTAGACAGTTGGATCTAATCAGAAATGAGGAGCTCCGTAAACTAACTAAGGTCGCTGACATACGGACGCACGTGGCAATTTGCAAGCTGAAGTGGCAATGGGCAGGGCACATAGTAGTTAGTACGCAGAACTGACGGTCCATAGTCCAGTAAAATTAATGTTTGAAAGGGAATTGAGATGTCGTTCTTTGTTGACCAAGTACCTATGGCAAATGCTAAAATTGATTTAGAACAAGTTAAATTAACCATAAATAGTAAAGATATTAAAATATTTGCAGTGGAACAAAAAGTGATGGTGAGAGACATGAGAAAATCATTGGTCTTTGCCGATCATGTACTTTGGGCTTTGTGGCAGGTTGTGGCGAGTTTAAACGCTTTGTTTAAAATCTCAATTAAAACTTATCTGATTCCGATATTACGATATTGGGTCGCTCAATATCGGAATTGAAATATCGGATCTCGCAGTCCGAGATTCCGATATTACGAGATTCCGAGATTCCGATATTCATGCCCTACTTTGTAGCATTTGTGTCGATACATTGCTAATAATAAGCATGCTTATAACGAATTGTTCGAGCACGCTTATTTTAAGCGTGCTAATATGCATGACATTTTTATGAGCATGTGTAAACTATAAATGCCTTTAGAATTGATAGATTAGATAAGAATAGCCGTGTGATTCCAACAGAGTAGGTAGTATAGGACCACCCCCACTCTTCCCATGGATGTCGTAAGAAGCTATTAAGGGACAAACATGTGAACATCAGGCCTCCCCAACCCGTCTGGCCAGCGTGGGGAGCGTAGGCCAAATCCTCCATTTGCCTCTGGTCAATTAGAGAGTCGTGCTCCTGCAGTGGAGACTGAATGACCTGATGATACCCCTGGTTGGGTTTTTTATAGCGGTCATGCTGCAGATCCTGGCTACACAGGAGTTGCAGTAGGAAAGAGAGGTGGGAATAGTCACGTATGATGAGACGTAGGCGAGGTGGAATAAACTACATCTAACGTAGTATAAACAGGGACGAAAATATAGAGAACTAGCGGCCGCCCGTTTTACCCCCTTAGGGGTGGAGTTTCGTAAAATCCAATCTTAGTTGATGCCTACGTCGAAACATCTACCTGCATGCCAAATTTCAGCCCGATTCGTCCAGTGATTTGGGCTGTACGTTGATAGATCATTATGTCAGTCAGTCAGTCACCTTTGAGTTATTTATACTAATATTATAAATGCGAAAGTAACTCTGTCTGTCTCTTTTTCACGCCTAATCCACTGAACCGATTTTGATGAAATTTGGCATAGAGATAGTTTGAGTCCCGGGAAAGGACATAGGATAGTTATTATCCCGGTTTTTGAAACAGGGACGCGCGCGATAAAGTTTTTCTGTGACAGACAAAGCTCCACGCGGGCGAAGCCGCGGCCGGAAAGCTAGTATATGTATATTTAGACTTACGATGCTTGGTGGGTGGGGGGACAGCATCCAAAGAGAACGTATTTGCCACCTGGTTTCATGTAGTTGAAGCTGATCTCCATTACCTTGCCGACACCTGGAAAAGACGACAAAAACATTCAATTGGACATGAATAAGTAAAAGAATATCATCATCAGGTCATTCAGTCTCCAGTGCAGGAGCACGACCCTCTCTAATGTACCAGAGGCAAATGGAGGATTTGTCCTACACTCCCCACGCTGGCCAGACGGGTTGGGGAGGCCTGATGCTCGCATGTCCCTTAGTCGCCTCTTACGACATCTACTGGAAGAGTGGGGTTCTATTCTACTCTGGCGAAACCACATGACAATAATAACTTTAACAAACGTCAAAAATCTGTCAAACTCTATACAAAAAACATCGGTTAACGTTATTAGTTACCCTTAAAGTTAGGTGGTGCAACTCAGCCTTATTGGATATATTCATTTGTTAGAAACCCACACGATGGAAGAAAAATAATTACCTGTGCAGTCAATGATGACATCATAAAGCTCATTTTCTTTCGCCAAAACGTCAGGGGTGATCAGTCTGTAGCCGGTCTCTGGAATTCAATAAATAATTGCTTAACAACGACTGGAACAATTTCAAATATTTTTTTCAGAAAAAAATTCAAATGTTTCCCGAAAAGTTTTGGTTGCTTAGTTGAGGAAACTGAAAGTTTTTTTTTTAAGCATAACAAGGCAGGTATTTGACCACAATCGCACCTGATGTTAAGTGGGATGCAGTCTAGGATGGTACATATCTGCCCTGTAAGTGCTTATTCACTCTCGCCTTGAAGAGGCCCGGATTATAGTTTTCGGGAAAGACAGCAGCAGGCAGCGAATTCCAGTCCCTAGCTGTTCGCATTATAAAAGAGTCATCGAAACGCTTAGTGCGAGCTGGTGGAATGTCAACAATATAGGGATGGTACTGTGGAAAGTGTCTATTGTTATGTGTGTAGTAAGGACGTTTATAAATCACAACACAGTCTTAGGAAAACACCAAACAGTTTATTGACGTCACACACAGAATAACTGTCCACAATAAGAAGGAGTAAGAAGTAGATAGATAACAAGGTCACAGTAGAATATCAGAGCGGAAATTTACATAAAACTGACTAGGTCACGAATGAATTAAGCGCGCGCGCAATGTTTTTATGCAAAATCGACAGCTGACTAAGATCGACTGGCGCGCGTCAGGCGAACGCGGCGGCTGCGGCGGGGGGCGTTCATCCACGGAACCGGTTGGCCCGACCGCCGCCGCTCGCGCCGTGCTGATCGTGCATTCACAAAAATATCTAATAGTAAAACGAATTGCGCGCGGTGTTTGTGCGTTTAACTAGATTGACAAAAGTTATACTAAAATAAGTATGCTATTTATTATACACAGTGTAGTTACGTTAAGTAGGTTTAGTACAGATACATATTTATAATATTTTTACAATGATATTAATTTAAGATAAACTATTAAAATATACTATATTAACTTAATTTTAAAAGGTTAAACGCCACATCACCCCCCTCCAGAGACCGGGTTACGGGTGATAATAATCTGGGAAACGTACTTTACGTCCTGACCGTGTCGTTCTAATATTATTATCTTGTTCGGTTTCAGGAGTAGTTTTTTGCCCTTGATAATCTGGGGATGTCTTGGTCTCGGGGTGTGTCTCGCGAAGTGAATATGTGGGTTTGACCCGATCAATCGAGACAGTCGCTGGTTTCCCATTTACGATGATTTTAAAAATCTTATCTCCTCGCTCTAGTACTTCATGGGGGCCGGTATAAGCCGGTTGAAATGATCCGTGTGTTGTATTGTCCCTAAGAAATACGTATTTGCAAGTAGCCAGATCTTTGAATACGAAGACTGGGTATTTGGCTATGTGTCGGGAAGCAGGAGCTGGGAGCAAGTTGCGTGCGAACTGACGTATTCTATGAGTGAAATCGGTCAAGTCCGGTACATTGTCAGTTTGGTGCTCAAAAAATTCTCCTGGTAGGCGTAGGGTCTCACCATAAACTAGCTCGGCTGGCGATGCATGGAGGTCTTCTTTGTGTGTAGCCCGTATACCTAGCAGCACCAGCGGGAGGGACTCCACCCAGTTACTATTGGCGTGACAGGTAATAGCGGCCTTCAACTGTCGATGGAATCTCTCGACTAGCCCATTGCAGGCCGGGTGATAGGCAGTGGTACGGCGGCGTTGGAATCCTGCCAGCTCGGCTAAGCGGTTAAAGAGCGTGGATTCAAATTGTCGGCCTCTGTCTGTGACGATTTCAGTAGGACAACCGAAGCGAGCTATCCAGCCTTGAACAAGGGCTCTTGCTACAGTCTCTGCCGTTATGTCCTGCAACGGTATTGCCTCAGGCCAGCGCGTGAAACGGTCGACAATTGTAAGGCAGTAGCGATAACCTTGGGATGGTGGCAGGGGTCCGATTAGATCAATGTGGATCTTCGTGAATCTGGTACGCGGGAGTTTGAACGTGCCGAGTGGAGAATGAACATGGCGGGTAACCTTTGCACGTTGACAGGCGATGCAGGCGCGTGTCCATTCGCGGCAGTCTCTCCTTACTCCGGGCCAAACGAAGCGTTCTGTGACCATCTTCGTCGTAGCTGTCGCCCCCGGATGATTGAGGGAGTGTATGCTCTCGAAAACCTGTTTACGCATTTCTTTCGTGACGTAAGGTCGTAAAGTCTCACTACTTTCATCGCAGTACAGTTCAGAGCTCAATCCCGGCAGTTTAACCTTTTTTAGGCGTAACGATGTCGTGTTGTCGAGGAGTAGCTGGAGTTCTGGATCGGAAAGTTGTGATTTGGCTAGTTGGGCAATGTCAACGGGCTGAACGATCTCGTTGACCCGTGAAAGAGCATCAGCTACGACGTTATCCTTACCAGAAATATGTCTGATGTCCGTGGTAAACTGCGAGATGTAGTCCAGGTGTCTGAACTGTCTTGGTGAGCAATTCTCTTTTCTGTTATGAAATGCGTAACAGATGGGTTTATGGTCGCAGTAGACGGTGAAGTGGCGAGCTTCCACCATGTGCCTGAAGTATTTGATCGACTCGTATACAGCAAGCAGTTCTCGGTCATATGGGGAATACTTCTGTTGTGTGGTGTTCAACTTGCGGGAGAAGAATGCGAGTGGCTCCCATAAACCGTCTCGTTGTTGCTGCAACGCGCCGCCAATTGCAGAGTCAGAGGCATCTGTAACGATGGCTAGTCTGGCTTCACAGTTAGGATGTGCTAGCAGTGTTGCTCGGCATAGACTCTCTTTACATTTGGCAAAGGCGTCGTGTTCTGCTTTGGAGAAACTTACGGGGTGTGAGCCCTTGACCGAGCCGGTGAGGAGTGCGTTGAGGGGTGCTTGGTGCTCAGCTGCGTCAGGTATAAATCGCCTGTAAAAGTTGATCATGCCCAGAAATCTTCGTAACTCTCTCACGGTTTTTGGGGTCGGATAGGACTGGATGGCTTCCACCTTCTCAGGTAGTGGCATTGTACCGGCAGCAGAAATACGGTAGCCGAGGAAAGTGACCTGAGATACGCCGAACACGCACTTATTAGTGTTGATGACCATGCCATACTGTTGAAGTCTGGAGAAGAGCTGGCGTAGATGGGCCTCGTGGGTACTCTGGTCCTTCGAAAAGACCAGGAAATCGTCCAGGTAGGCGTAGCAAAAATCCAGTCCCCTCAGCATCTCGTCGACGAATCGCTGGAATGTCTGCCCGGCATTTCGAAGTCCGAACGTCATGAACGGAAATTCGTATAGACCGAATGGCGTGGTGATAGCGGTCTTCGGGATATCGTCGATGAAGACGGGGATCTGGTTGTAAGCTTTTACCAAATCGATAGTGGAAAAGACCTGGCATCCGGAAAGACTGTGAGAGAAGTCGTGGATGTGGCGGATGGGGTACCTGTCGGGAATGGTTCTGGCGTTGAGCATCCTGTAGTCGCCGCAGGGGCGCCATCCGCTGTCCTTCTTAGGGGCCAGGTGTAGTGGGGAAGACCAGGGTGACTCGGAAGGTCTGGCGGTGCCGTTCTTGAGCATCGAGTCAAACTCTTCCTTGGCAATTTTCAGCTTGTCAGGTGCCAGTCGACGCGGCGTACTGCAAATAGGTGGGCCAGGTGTGGTGCGAATATGATGCACCGTGTTATGAGCCGGCGTGCGGAGTATACCAGAAGGACGGGTGATGTCTGGGTATTCCCGTAGTATGTCGTGGTATACAGAGGCACCGGTAATTACCTTGACCGAGGAAATCGCATCTGTTGAGCTGGCAGGCGAAGCCTGGGTCGCGAGCGTAGTGTTGTTGTCGATGAGGCGTTGATGTCTACAATCTACAATCAGATTATAAAAAGATAAAAAATCAACACCTATTATCGGCTTCGTTACATCGGCGACTATGAATCGCCAAGCAAAGTCGCGGCGTAGGCCTAGGTTTAGAACGAGATGTGCGTAACCGTAGGTATTTATTGTAGATCCGTTCGCTGCGCATAATTGGTAATTTGTCGGTAGACGTCGCTCCTTTAATGCAGACCGTGGGAAAACGCAGAGGTCGCTACCAGTATCGACCAGAAACTGCACTTTCGTCCGGTGGTCCGTGACAAACAAGCGACCGGAGCTAGGGCGGGCGTTAGTCGCCATTACCGTCCGCCCGACGCGTTTCCCGCCTTATAGTCGCACGGTTTAACACATTTGTTCGCTTTAGCCCCGTGCGTTGCGTGGTACCAGCATATAGGGTACTTATTGTAGCTCGACTGGGACCTGTTGGAGCGGGAGCGGTCGCGGGAGCGGTGAGCGGCTCTCGCTGTAGGTCTGGAGCGCGAGTGATCTTGGGCGGTTGTGAGGGCTTGCACTTGTTTGGTTAGCGCTGCGACCTGTTGCACTAGGGTATCCAATGTGCTGCTGCTGGCTGCGGTGGCTGACGACATGGCTGCTACGTGTGGGCTGGATGGCACTACGTCATGGATCCGATCGGCGAGATCAGCCAGGGCCTCGAGTGACGTCGAGGGCTGCGACGCGACGATGGTCTGCGTAGTGCTGGGAAGTCGGCTGGTCCAAATTGTCCTCAGGAACTCCTCAGGGACGTCGGGGCCGGCCAGGTTTTGCAGGTGCCGCAGGAACTGCGATGGTTTGCGGTCTCCCAGCTCTTCGTGGACGAGGAGCTGCTTGACTTTTTTGTCCCTGGACGCCGAAAGCCTCTTGATGAGCTCTGTCTTCAGCTTCTCGAATTTGCCGGTAGTTGGTGGGTTGGTTATTATGTCCTCAACCTCCCCTGCATACTGCTGGTCGAGTTGGCCAATTACATAATAAAATTTGGTTGCGTCTGATGTGATTCCGGATATCAGGAATTGACCTTCTATTTGCGCGAACCAAATTGCTGGTTTTTCTGGCCAAAATGGGGGTATTCGCACACCAACTTTAAAAATTTCACTGGGCGCGGCTGCGCTCTGCTCCGAAGCGTCTTGGAATGTTTCCTTGCTCGTCATCTTCAAGTGTTCTACGGGGTCACCAGTGTGGAAAGTGTCTATTGTTATGTGTGTAGTAAGGACGTTTATAAATCACAACACAGTCTTAGGGAAACACCAAACAGTTTATTGACGTCACACACAGAATAACTGTCCACAATAAGAAGGAGTAAGAAGTAGATAGATAACAAGGTCACAAATCACAGTAGAATATCGAAACAGAAATTTACATAAACTAACTAGGTCACGAATGAATTAAGCGCGCGCGCAATGTTTTTATGCAAAATCGACAGCTGACTAAGATTGACTGGCGCGCGTCAGGCGAACGCGGCGGCTGCGGCGGGGGGCGTTCATCCACGGAACCGGTTGGCCCGACCGCCGCCGCTCGCGCCGTGCTGATCGTGCATTCACAAAAATATCTAATAATAAAACGAATTGCGCGCTGTGTTTGTGCGTTTAACAAGATTGACAAAAGTTATATAAAAATAAGTATGCTATTTATTATACACAGTGTAGTTACGTTAAGTAGGTTTAGTACAGATACATATTTATAATATTTTTACAATTATATTAATTTAAGATAAACTATGAAAAATATATATTAACTTAATTTTAAGAGGTTAAACGCCACATAAGTAAGAATTGGGTCGTTTTGGGGTTCTCATTTCATTATGAAATGGTTCAGAGTTACAAGATTGAGAAGAAGTAGGTCGTTGTGGGTATTAGGTGATAAGGTACTACGATTATTTAATTATTTATAAACATGCCGTGTATCTCGTACATGATAAATAGTACGTTCATTTTCAGGTAGCCCTCGTATTTTTTGGCAAGTAACTTGCAGTACAAATCGCACTCGTCTTCTTCAGTTCTTCGGTCTTTTAGAACATTATTAAAAGTATTAAATGACGTCTCCTTCATCTGCTTGCTAGCTTCATTGATGAGATATTCAGAACTTTTTGCTCGTTGACGCGGGTGCTGCAGTGGTTACATCCAGTTTCAATAGTATGTGCACAGGTGGCATGCGCTTCCCTTCCACAATTAAAATCTCAATGGAGCATAATTAAAATGACCAAAAAGAAAGCATACCAAGTCCTCATTCCCTATTTCAATATTGTGCAATACTGCAAGTGCGACAATAGTTGGTTTTACATTGTGCATATGCACTGTTAAACCATTTAATAAACATTGTAACCGCTATTTCCATACACCAAAGCAACGTTCAACACAGTTGAGAGTGGCAATCTGGGTTTGATTGTATCTTTGTTCCTGTTCATTTTGAGGCCTTAATGTGGGTGTAAAAAGATATAACTAGTTGATACCCAGAATACCCCAAGTCTTCCTCTGAACTAGCCTCGTTCAAAGCGTTCTTTAAGAGTGGACTCATTAAATCACCTTGCAACAATGTCTATTATTTTTAGTTCGGCATCACAAGTTACTTGTACGTTCATAGAGTAATATCCTTTTCTGTCTATATTATACTGAGCTGCGTCACCACCATATTTCTTTATTTTTATATGGGTGCAATCTATACACTCCAAGACAATAAAATCGCCGAATATCTTAAAATTCCCTCATTACTTTTTCTTGTTCTGCCAGTGACTGGCATTTTTATATAGGTTTCAGAGTGGCGCTACTCTGGCACAAATGCGACTTACAGTTGGTTGAGATAACCCATGGATTTCTCCCCCATCATATTGAACCTAAAATGTTACAAAGAGATTTAAAAACGTAGGTGTATTAAAATGCGGCATAATTATATGTATTAAATACTTGTAAGTAGAGTACTTCACGACGACCTCAACATCTTATAGCGGTTAACACCTGTAACTGTGATGTTCCACACCTCGCGAGTGCAACTGCAAGTCTTGCCTGACGAGATCAATTATAAAGTTCATGGTATTTTTGTCGAAACGGTATCGTCGTTTAAACTCTACATCTGGCAAAGAAAGTGATCCGTATCACATCTCTCCTGGTAAATCTTTCGACGACGTAGAACATTTTCTGTTCCTTCAATGCGTTCAATAGCTTCTAATGCTTGCAGAGTTAGCAGAGCTTGCATAGCTACATTTCCATCCTTCCTCATAATTAGAAGTTCTCAAACGTTCTTCAAATACACATCAAATGCAAATAAACTCACTTTTCATCCAAAATGACTCGGCGTATTTGGTAAACGGTGCAGATGATACCGTTGTTAATCAATACAGAGTTATTTTGCAATACCCATTTATTTATAAGTTTCATTCGTTTTTCATTTAGTCGATAAGTCGATCGATAAGTCTGCTGGCTGGTACATTGCTTTTATTCAGCCATTACACTATAGTTACCATATTTTTATTTGGTGTTCGGTTCGGTTTATTTAATGTCTTGAATGGTATTTGGCATTGTAAATTATGATAATACTTGGTTCTTCTAGATTTTCTAAAAGTTGAGTAATGAGCCTCTCTTCAAACTTATCGGCGTTCATTTCTTCGTGGTAGTCTCCTGTTTCTTTACTTACATAGTAAAAGAGTATTACGTACCCTTTCATATTGTTGAAAAATTCAACATTTTGAGAATTCAACATTATATTCCAAAAGGCATTTATTTTATTTAAAGTTTACAATAAAATAAAGACTTTCCATCACACTTTTACAGGCTTTGGACTGGCAAGTACCTACTTACCTACTTGCTTTAAAAGTTTAGATACGTAGGTAGGTAGTACTTGGCGTGTTTAAAAGTCAGTTCATTCACAATTAAAGAAAAACAGTTATTTACAATTATTTACAAAAACTGCTGAAAATTGATTCCTTGGACGTTAATGAAGAGCCAGCCTCGCTTATATAAATTTCGTTTGATTTTTAATAGAGAGTCACTTTCACCTCTCATGATATTAAAAGCGTTCACAATTCGCTCCTTTAATTGAGTAACACTTTCTATCGTGTGTCCACCTTCACTGTACACCAAATCTTTAGCCCGACCCTACACGAAAAAGTCCAGTGTTGTTATGTCTGGGAAACGGCCAACCACGCTACAGGTCCTCCACGACTGATCCACCGACGCCCGTACTGCTCCGTTATGTACTCGCGTACCGCACGGTCGTAATGTGCTGTAGCACCATCGTGCTGGTAATACATCCCACGACGGAGATGCAGCGGGACATCAGCCATTAATTTAGTCATGGTTGTTAATGGGCGATGGAGTGGACTGTATTTCTGAGAGATAGGCCTGCTGGTAGTGATCATATGCAAGAAGCTAAACAAGGAAAAACTCCAAAAGGGGCCAAAACAGTATATTAGCTCAAGACATTAAAACTAGAACGCACAAGAGACAGTAAAAAAGCAACTTCAAAATCCAAAAACACTATTAAAAAAAGTAAAAATCCATAAACAATATCAAAAGAGGATTGCTGGCCAAACTGCCAGCAACAAAGGTTGTCTGGAGGAGTTCCAGGTAGCTTCGCCCGTTGAGGTGTTCCAGAAATACTGGCCCGATCAGCTGGTCACCCAGGAACCCCACCCACTCGTTGACACTGTAGCGGGTTTAAGCTCCTGAACAAGCGTAAAGTGGAACGGTCGCTGTCGTTTCGGCGTAAAACACGCCGAACTTACAAACAACAACACACTTATCGGCGCCACATCAAATGCAGCACCTGCATCAGCTGTGCAGCCGTTGAATGTCGACGGAAGAAATTCAGAATATGTTCTTCCAATTCACCATCTCCCGCCGGCATGAATAAGCCCCACTCGCGAAATCGCTGTTCAGCTCCTAAGATGGTCCTTGGGTTTACAACTTTACAGCTCCCCCATAGAATAGATGTTGGCGTTACAGGTTGCAAAAATTAGATATTTTTCTAATTCGAATATTTTTTTCTTTTGGCCTTTCTTGTATTTGTGTGACTCGGCAACAATTTTCCCATGATCTTACATGGGCCACGGAACACTTATAGCTTCCAATTTTTCAATTTGTTTTTGCATCGTTTGAAGGTTGGATGTTTGCATGGCCACAATCGTGGCTAGATGTTCCGTCATGAATGTCATGATGGTGATTATTAAAGTGCAATAAACTGTTAAGTGCCTGGTGGACGAGCGTCAATGTTGTGAGATCGTGTTCTTATAGTCTGCCAATCTGGACAAAGGAACATCATCTTCATCAGAATCTTGGTAGACATCTTCATCTGCAACTTCAGCCTCTTGTTCACTTTCCAATACGTGTGGAGAATTCTCAGGTAGACATCTCAGCTCGGAAGGGTCTTCTTCTTCACTTTCAATTAAATGATCACTGTTTTGGTCATTTTCCATCAGCCAGCGTTGTATTTGGTCGTCGGATGCCATAATTACCTGGTAAAACTAAGTAATTAATTAAACTAAAAGTAAGTTAAAAAATACAGTCACATAAAATAAATAAATAAATAATTTTTTCATTAAAATAAGAGCATTATAAGAACTTATTATGCTAGAGTTTACATATAGTTCTTAGTCTTTTGTAGCCTGAGCTAGGTTAAAAACCTGTGTTTCAGGCGAAAAAAGCTCACACGTTAAATAGTAATTATTAGTAGTTAGTACCTATTTCTGTTTCTGTGCATAGCAATCATCCACCATCTTCTTATCCGTCTTTTATTTTTTATTTTCTTTGCAAGTTCCAGACGACATTTCACGTAGTTATAATATGCCAGGCCCCCGATTGCGCTATAAGGTTTCACTTGAGTTTGACTTTTTCTTTGAACATTTAATTTGGCTGTTTTTAGTAAAAAAAAATAAGGTGTTCGGACTTTTATTGGAAAGTGATTAAATCCGTTTGTAAATTTGAAAAAAATTCCGGGGCAAAATAAAAATATTTTTTTTAACAATACAATTTATTGTGTATGTGACACAAAAAAAACTAAATTAAAAGGGATGGGTCTTTAAGCCGTTTGGTTGGTACTAATTAAAAACTTAAGGTTACTAAATTTAGCGCGCTACTCTTCACTCGGCTCAACCCCCTCCGCACCCGTCGGGTGCAGCAAGCGTTCGGCACTGCGGGACAGCCGGTGCCAAACACCTCCTAGTGTACAAAACAATATATTATAAAAAAATATCAAAACAGTAAGTGTACAACTGGTGCATTAATACCCTACCGCTTAAACAGGTAGTAATAGGTATATTAATATAAAGAAATTAATTTACTTGTGTTCGCTTAGTTAAATTACTACGACACACAAAAAAAACAATCCATCGCTCTCAAGGATGGAGCAAATGTGAACACAGCAAAATCCATCGGTAATTCATTACAATGGTAAATCTATTTAAAAAGTAACATTTTGGTAAAATGTAATTATTACATAGGTAATCTACTTTTTCAAAGTAAACTAAAATAGTTAACAAGCTCAATAGAAAACGGAACCAACCTATGAAGTAGGGTAGCCCAGGACCGTGGTGGACGGCCTCGGTATACACATATCGGCCAGTCATGGTCAGGGAACGACTCCCAGGCACCATCGTCACCTTTTGAACAAAATTTACTAAGTTGCGGACACATCACCGAGTACCACGTTTCTAATAATTTATCCTAACTCAGCGGAGAGGCGAATGAGTTTGAGAAAGAAATCACAACATACCTTCAACGGAGGAAAAAATCCGGCGACAACAGCTATATAGCAGGACACAGCCCAGAGCTCGCCACCGAGCACTGCCCAACTAAAATCTGTGAATAACAACCACGTGCATTGGTTAACAATGCCGCCAATGCAAACAAGAAAATAACAGGAAGAAACTCAAGGTAATTCTTGGAATAGGACCTGCTTACCTTCAGTAATAGAACTCCAGCACGTGGCGGTGAGTCCACAAAATCGGCGAATAGCGGGATTTCGGTGTTCAACCGGAATTCCCTTATTTCGACCACAATAATATGCGTGCCCTGCCCGTTTGAGTTGGGAACGGCACATTTAGGGCCGACTCAGAATGCCACAACACCACACACTACAGAACTTCTGATCTCCAGCACGGCCAGCAGAAGAAAAGGGCCCATCGAAAAGCGCCGATCATCACCCGTGACCAGACTTCCGTTTCAAACTTCTCAACCTAGCCAGTCAATAAATCGAGCAGATTTTTATTTTCAATAAGTGCTATTTGTGTCAACTAGCCTCTTATTGAATAATTTCGATATGAGAACTCACAATACTGCTCCTCTGATTTAGATTTAATTAATTAATTAAACTTTAGAAATAAAAGAAACACAAACATAAGTATTCGGAACGTCTCCCGCGCGTTTCGTTTCACTCAGAATATGTCAAATTTCTAGAACGTTCCGAATCCATGATCAATCAAAATACATTATAATGTTATCTATATATATAAAAGAAAGTCGTGTTAGTTACTCCACTTATAACTCAAGAACGGCTGAACCGATTTAGCTGAAAATTGTCAGGGAGGTAGTTTAGAGCCAGGAGAAGGACATAGGATACTTTTTATCCCGTTCGAAATGAAAAAAAAAGACTGCTTATTTATTGCCATTAAGGCGGAACAAAGTTCGCCGGGTCAGCTAGTTTTAATATAAACATTGAAGAAAATACTGAAAATAACTAGAATTTCAATTAAAGAGCCTAAATATTAAGTTTTATAAAGTGTAGTGTTGAATATTTAATTTCGTTATACAATTTTCTTTACTAAAATAATGAAACGTAACGCACCGATCTGTCAAACAGAGACATTCTAAAAGTGATGTTATTTATTGCTCTGTTTACCAAAACAATGTAATTAATTTTAATAGAAGTTAATTTAAATTCAGTGAATCTCTAACAATGACACAATCAAGTGACAAAGGAAATACTGTACACTTTATAAAATGTGACCTTACGGTCAGTTGGAATGTTTGTTTGTGGAAATCGGTAAGAATTTAATCTCGCCAAAAAAAAGTGTTACACGTTGTTTCGTCTTTGCTTGCGCGTGAACTTTACCGCGATACTGAATTTACACCTCAGCTGGAATGAAAAACGGAGCGTTACTGGTAAAGAAGCGGCAATGTATTGGAGACGTTAAAAATTAGCGCAATCGGGGCACAGAGCGCACATTGCAACGGCATCTTCGACGTCCATATTGCCCGTAGACTGAGAGCAGTGGACGTGTGGCTGAAATGATGATGATGAATCGTCAGTTACTTTCAGCTGGGGAAAAAACTTTATTCATAATCGCTATCACATCTCATAAGAACTCTTGCCCTAAAATTACTTCGTAGGGTATTACATCATCGGGAATTATGTGAAAATGCATTTAACTCATGATTGTCTACCTCAATTGGTGCGGTGAATCTGCCAAAAGAACTTACTTGCTTTTTTCCGAGCCCAGTTAACATTACATTTTCCTGAGTAAACTTTGTAATTCCTAACGTGAAAAATGCTTTACAGGTTATTAAATTCACAGCAGTACCACTATCAACTAAACTTTTAATAGTTAAACCTTGAATATTTAAAGTCTTTATGTTGTTGTTTACATCGAAACCACAATTTTGGGTGCGCAACGTCATCTTGTCATCTGTCATTGTAGCTGTCACTCCGTCATAGACAATCGCGCCCGCGCTGCCATTGGTCGATACGCAATTACATAAAAATTATTGATGAAATTTATTTTTCATTGCAGGTATCCCATATGGCCTTTTACAATCATACCTGACCCTTACACCAGAGGTTCCCAAACTTATTTGTATCACGCCTCCCTACTGCTTAAATGAACGTACCTACGCCCCCCTCGGCCCAGGGCAGCCCAGGGCCCAGCAAGTGCGATGCGAAAGTCTGTCTTGGCTTTCACGCCTAAACCGATATAGAGATAGTTGGAGTCCCGGGAAAGGATGTAGGATAGTGTTTATCCCGGTTTTTGAAACAGGGACTCGCCCGATAAAGTTTTTCTGTGACAGACTCAATTCACGCGGGCGAAACCGCGGGCGGAAAGCTAGTTGTAAAATAAAATAATATAAAGTCCAAAAATACACTTTTAAGATGTTCTAATAATTAAAAATCTTTGGACTTAATTATAACGCGGATTGTGAAAGTCGCGGAAACAGTTTCTATCTCGTGTCAGGCACAAATAGATGTTGCATTTAATACACAGCATTTTTGGTTATTTTTCTACAACCAATTTGGCGGAATTTGTTCTGTGTTTCACTGACTTCCGGTAAATTACATACGAGCATTGCACCGCGTGTTCGGTTTGCTTCAGAGGGAAGGGGTACAGGGACTTTCCTGTTTCTGAAAGTAGGGACGTTTTCTTCTCTATCCGAATCGTCGTGCAATGAGTGTTCGGTCGGATTCTGTATTGGCATTCGCTTCAAGAATGGCTTCAGCAATTTCTAATTTAAACGACCGAAGTTGCTGAATCTTATGTTATCTCGTACCATTTTCCAATTGATCTTGCTTGAACAGAATCCAGGCGTTGCAAATAGCCAGATCCACCATATGGGATATAAATATTTGCGTCCATTTCTTCGTCCTATAGCAATTAGGACAAACTGCCAGCATCCGATCTGCTAGATCCACGCCTCCCATATTCGCGTTATATTGTTTAACAACTTGTGGTCGCGGTACCGAAACATACCTTTTTGTTTTTTTGGACCATCTTTCACAGCCATCAATCGTTTGGTCGGCGTGTAAATTTGACATAAAAGTTATAGGCTTGCTATCAACCCATTTAGAACCTATTTCTGTTTCTGTGCATAGCAATCATCCACCATCTTCTCCGTCTTTTATTTTTAATTTTCTTGGCAAGTTCCAGACGACATTTTACGTAGTTATAATAATTATGCCAGGGCCCCGATTGCGCTAAATATTTTCAACTACATACAACGCGACTAGACATAGAACGCGGTGTCGCTGTGACAGCTAGTTCAAACGAAAACAAACCGCAACTGCTTCTTGTAAATGCTGAAAGCTGCTTTTTCTCAAACTCAAGTGAAACGCCTTCGCGAACATTTAATTTTGCTGTTTTTAGTGAAAAAATAAGGTGTTCGGACTTTTATTGGAAAGTGATTAAATCCGTTTATCTTTACCGCGATACCGAATTTGCACCTCAGCTGGAATGAAAAACGGAGCGTAACTGGTAAAGAAGCGGCAATGTATAGGAGACGTTAAAAATTAGCGCAATCGGGGCAAAGAGCGCACATTGCAACGGCAGCTGTTACTTCGACCTCCATATTGCCCGTAGACAGAGAATACTGATTTGGAGCAAATGTCTGTTTTTGGTGTCCCAAATCCCTGTACTGATTCAACTCTATAATGATTCAACAGACAAAATAGGAGATGAGAAAAAATCCAAGTAGTTAGTTAAATGAATTACAAATAAAAATATTGTACAAATTATAGTCAAGAATAGTTCTAAAATATACATAATAGGTATAAGGATTAAATAAAAAGTTGAAAAATACCCCACTAATATGTACAGGTAAAGGTATTGTAGTATATGCTTTTCATCAAGTGTTTTTAATTGAAAAAAAAAAATTAATACTTCTCCAAATCATTTATTGAGTATCTAGCAGTACTTATAAATTTTGTATAATTATGGTCCTCCAGTGGGTTAATGCCTTCCATCATATTACTTTCGGAGTCTTCGGACATTTCGTCGTCAGAAGAGTCTAAGCTTTCATCGTCACTTGTAGGATCAATTATATTTTGTCGAGTTCTATACCCATAAGTCTGTCGGATTCGAAATATTTGTCTTCGATTTTCCCCACGTGTTGACACACGTTAATCCATTCCATCGTTGTAACAGTGTTCAGTGGTCAGTTCGTTGCAACAGTCAAAATCGTCTGTTTCCAAAAAACTCTTTCGGTCTCTATTTTTTCCTGGAGTTACAATTTTCGAATTAGAAGCTTCAGCTAAATTACTTTCTCGAGTTATTTTAGTGACAGTGCGTTCAGAAATACCTGAAACGAACAAATATATTATGATTATTTGAAATACTTAAAATACAAAAATTACCCCACACGGAAGCAAAATACCATGCGATGGTCACCCAAAAATGTACCTGTCAAGGAAGCATTCCGTGCCCGTACTTTGCAAATTGGTATAAATGGCCCCTTATTGTCCCGTTCTGCTTCACAAGAACGTTTCACCTTCAAAACAATCTCTCTGCCGGCACTTTTAATAACTTTTGGCATGATGATTAGTCATTTTGATCACTGAAAACTAATAAAAACGCAAGACACTCCTAAACGCTCACTACACCCGACATAAACAACGACATGGCGGCCTGAGATTAGTTCCGATTTTGGCCACGCGCAGACATAGATTCCTATGGGACTTGAAAGAAGCTAATGATGTGGAAATGATTGTGATTATTTACATTATTTATTATATCAATGAATTGGTTTGTGTACCTACTGTACTCGTAGGGCTCTTGAAAACAGTTTATGATGGCTGCGGCTATCTTAAAATCCTTCATGGTGTTTGGTAGTGCGATTAAATACTTTGTCTCTAAATATTTTAAAGTCGCGCTTGAATTGACCGTTAATTGTCTCTACGACCACCTGCATAATGTGACTCTTCGTGATCACTTCCAGATTTGTCAGCTGACTTTCACCAATCACCGCGTGTTACAGACAGGGGTACATGTGCAACATAGCCGTATGACTCTAGAAGAGGAATACTATCATGAAATCCTCTGTCCAATATGAAGACGTCACCTTCTTCCAAAAAATAATTAATCGGGGCCTCTTCCATAGGACCGTCGTGGTTTTGTAAAATCTGCTGCATTATTGATGCATCAGAGGTTGCATCGTATGTTCCTGTAACGTTTATAATGTATCCGTCCCCACACATAACAAAGAAAAGATTCTTCTGTGGGAGTCTCCAGTACGAGCTTTAATTAAGTAAGCACCTAAGGCAGTTCGGGGTTTTTTGCAAGCCATAGCTGGACGGTTTTGGTTAAAAATTATATTATAGTTATGTTTTGATAAGCCTGTCCAGAATTTAAAAATAACATCATCAATTTGTTCAATGCTTTCAAAATCTAAATGACTTTCTACTTCTCGAATACTAAGTCTTAGCATAGACTGCATCTCAGTTTTTGTAAACACTTTTGAGAATTCATGCTGTTCTAGAAACTCCCAATTATATGTATAATGGTATTTGTTCATTACACACTAGCATTATCTGATACAAATATTTTTTGGGACGTTAAAATTCGCTTTCTAAGACTAATTGGAACATTGTACCTTTCAGGATTTGTGCAGTTGGACACAAAACAATGTCTACTTGAATTTGTAGTGTGTGTAAAATCATCAAGCTCCATCACTGGCGTTGTTACTGGTACATTTTCCATCATCGTTCCAGATGGTGAAGCTTCTTCACGAATTTGGGATGCATTTCGTCTAACATTTATATAGTCCAGCAACTTGTACACAAAAGGTGCCCCGATAACTAAAAGAGAAAGGTACAGATAATCATTACATAATATTTTAAACAAATAAATAAGTCCTTGTATCAATCTACGTTGCAATTGAAATAATATCATAACAAATAAAATATTAATATTAAGCGTATAATAGTAAATTATTCACACTAAAAAGTAATCACATACCTCGCGTGGATAAATGCTTGCTGCTAATTCATATCTCGCAGGCCCAGTAGGTATGGCATGTGTTTGCCTCCGGAACAAAGACATGCGGCATAATGCACAAGAATCATCTTGGTGGTGTGCAGAAACTGGATTTTGACGCACCTCATCAATGTTCTGGGCTCTTTACACATTTCTTCGTGCTGAGACCCAGCACGCATAACATACACGGCCCCCAGATGGAATCTAAAAAGAGTCATATATAATTAAGGATACAAACTTNAACGCCACAGTACGCTAACCTGCGTCTGGTTCCCCGAAGTCTTAACTTTTATGGCTTTTTATTAATGATATTTATTAATGTCAAGACAAAATCTTTTATGACAATAGGTAACACAATATTAAAAATACCAACTCACCCAATTTTTTCACAATCTCTAGCCTAGATTTGTTCATTTCTGACACCGTTACTTCACGGTGCCCATGGTGGTGGAGTGTGGTCACCCAGAGATTGCCTGCGAAACACCATACCAATATTTAGAACTATAAGGTGGACAGACGACTCATAAAGTTAGCAGAAAGGCGCTGGATGCAGGCCGCTACCAACCGGGCGATGCGGAAATCATTGAGGGAGGCCTATGTTCAGCAGTGGACGTCCTGTAGCTGAATGATGATGATGAGGCTTTTGTACCTCAAAAGGAATTTTCTGCTCCTATTGGCTGTAGCATAAAGGACATAGCACACTTATCAACTCGGAAAGGGATCGTAACCGTATCAACTCGAGGCGGTTATCAGCACTTAAACTCTTCGCCTGGCGGTTGACAGCGAGCGAAAGGCAATGACGCTTGCGAAAGGCGATACGGTGTTGATCCCTTTCCGAGTTGATAAGTCTGCTATGACCTTATAGCTTTCCTCGATAAATAAATAGACTATTCAACACAAAAATTAAATCCAATTCGAACCAGCAGTTCCTGATTATCGCGTTCAACCAAACAAACATATTCTTCAGACTTTTAGGCTGGGTTGCACCATCTTACTTTGACTGTAACAAACGTCAAAAATCTGTCAAACTCCATACAAAATTCACCGGTTATCGTTAAAGTAACTTTATGGTCTAAATGGTCTAACTAAATGGTCAAAGTTTGGTGGTGCAACTCAGCCTTAGTATACAGATGAGCTCAGCTGATTAACAAAAATGTTTATCATATTATTATGACAATTGAAGAATGACTTGTAAATCTTGTAATAAAATTATCGTATTATCAAGTGGTAAAATGTAAAACAAACAAAATAATTTAGATCTCCCACGAGCATGTCTATAAAGATAATGGACGCACGTATAGTTTTATCGTCGAAATAATCTAAGTCAAAATATTCCATAAACTATTTGTTATTTTTTGCACACGAGGTGACACGAGTCCACTTACTTGTATTACTTGTCAAATAATGAATTAAACTTTTAATCGATATCTATAAAAGTGAAAGGTCAAAAATCCCAAAAACTACAAGTGCTAGGAGTCTCAAATTTTACATGGGGGTTCCTTTTAGAACGTAGTGCTCACTAAGACGGGATTTTGCAAAATTCAACCCCTAAGGAGGGAAAACGGAATCCACGTGTACGAACTCGCGGGCACAGCTAGTTTTAAATAAAAGAAGGGGACAGTTTGACAAACACCAAGATGATGGTATACTTGTAGATACTTAATAAATTTTACCACAAAGGGGAAGCACTTGGCCTGCATCTCACCTGATGGTAAGTGACGATCAGGCCGAAGGTGGAAGCGAGCGTCACCCGGAATCCTCAACCACAGAGGAACTGGCTATCTTAATAGTTAAATGTATATATTTTACTATGTCTGAATTCATTGATTTGATATTTTCTTACAAACTGATAATTCTTTGTAACCAAGTCTGGTAATTATTATCATAGAGACATTGTAAATAATGTACTAATATTAATTACCTACCTACAGTTTGACAGCATAGATTAATTAATTATATTTATAGTTTTTTAATCTCTATTTCCAACGTCATCGGACGGGACTGTACAGCTTATTTATATCTTTTTTTATCTTTATAGGGTCAAGTCCCCTGTTCGCATCCATCTACTTTTTGGTATCCAAACATCGGATCACTCTTTAAAAAGAGTGGAAGTCATCAGTCATAGGTACATGCAGGGTGATCCAAGCATTCTTTAAAGAGTTTTCTATATTTTAAATACATTTTAAATTAGTGTCAGTTTTTTTAAAAACGTTCGAATGTAAAAAGATTATCGTTTCGGCGCGCATGGGTAGTGAGTGAGTGACATTTTATCTGGTAAAAGTCGCGGGAAGCACCTGGACAGTGCACGACAAATTGTGGAAATTCTGGGGGAGGCCTTTGTCCAGCAGTGGACGGTTTTTGGTTGGAATAACGAGTCCATGACATTTAATATCTGATACTCACCAATGATTCCAGCTCCAACGATGAGGATCTTCTCACCAACTAACAGGGGGGAGGCGCGGTCGAAACCATGTGACACGCAGGAGTAGGGCTCGCAGAGACCAGCTGAAAAAATACTTTTATTTATTTAAGGACCAACAACAGAGCATGCACTTTAACAGTACCCCTCTTTCTGGCGCAGTCGGGTAAAAATGTAGTAGGTACATTCATTCAAGTTCTAAATTCGTTAAATGTTATTGCGGGAAACGCAGGACTGGTCGTTGTAGAAAATCCTTGGAAGAGGCCTTTACTACGTCCTTTGGTTGAAACAAAGATCAAAAAAGGCTGAGTTGTGGACCTTTTTGGCACACTTCATCCTTTGTACTTCATCGTCATCATTATTTGACAGGATTTTCAGATTAGCCGGTTGGCAGCGGCCTGCATCCAGGGTAATCCTTCATTCATTCGCCTTTATAAGATCATCTGTCTGTCTTTTTATATAACGTCCCATTGGCGCTTGATCCAAAACCTTGCTGCCCCATCGTTTCTCGTTCCAGTATCATTCAAAATATTTTGCGTGCCAATAAAATATCTTATTCTTTTTCTAATAAATGTAATTTTACCTTGTTCAGTGGTAATCCCGTCAGGCAGCGCGTACACCTGTGTCTGTGGTACCTTGCAGTACTGCGCCCAGCCGCCGTCCCTCCAAATGCCGACGGTGCTGTTGATGCCAGCTGTCAGGCAGTACTGGTACTTGCCCTTACGACAGAAGTCGCAGAGGCTGCAGGCGCTGGAATAAATAAAGAAAGAAAAAGAAGTGATTTGGGGCCATTTAATTCATTTGCACAAATTACTAATACTTGTAGTCCCGTTAGCCCCTCGTACTAAGCTAAATATGCTTGTGTCACGATTGAGCTCTCCACAATATTCAAGCGGCGGCGGGGACCGAACCCGCGTTCCCCGGATCACGAGTCGGCCAATCCCACCCCTTCACCGTTCGGCTATCGTGGCTTCAAGAATTACTGCTAGATGCTAGAATTGAAGCTCCTGCTACTGCTGAAGACTGAATAGATATATGAGGAACTTGGTTCGATCAAACCCCGCCACTGTTTAACTATTTTGTTGAACCAACTCGTATTAATACAAGCATTTAGCTTACTACGAGAGGTTATTATGGCCATCTTCCGGCTCCATCGCCTTCCAGATCAGACCCTGGATATGATGAACCAAGAACAGATTACTTGTCAAGACAATTCAAACGAGCCCAAACTCAACTAGGCTTCATTCGTCTTTAATTCAAACTGCGTCAAAACCTTTCCCTAAATTCGGGACTAATCCCAGCTCTACAGAATTAACCCAAACTGCTTCTTTCTCTCCTATTATCACAGATGTTTATTTTATAGGCTATCTATACAGGGTGAGCTTACCTGTTAGGGTCCACCACGACCTTCTGTCCCTTCTTGAAGATGGACTTCTTGCCTGCATCGTGCACTACACCGCTGAATTCGTGTCCAAGCGGCAGAGGGCGCTCTTTTGATGCCGGGAACTCTCCCTGGATAAAAAAGTTACTTTTAGAAGTTGACATAAACTTTTAGTGCGAAAAGTAAGCGATTAAGTAATCGCTTACTTTTCGCACTAAAGCGTTTCGATAACTCTTATAATGCGAACATCTAGGGACTGGAATTCGTTGCCTGCTGCTGTCTTTCCTGATCACTATAATCCGTGCCTTTTCAAGGCGAGAGTGAATAGGCACTTACAGGGCAGATATGTATCATACGCGACTAGTGCGGACTAATCCACGTAATAATATTACGTGGATTAGTCCGCACTAGTCGCGTCAAGTATGCTAAATTACTACGTACTAGGTGGAATAGGTATTTGGATCAACTATTAATAAATACTAGGAATAGGTGAACCTAGTATCAAATTTACCTAGTATAACCCATCTCTATTAATAACATAAATTATAAGGTTTAAAATGTATAATTTGACATTTTAAACCTAATATGTTACCTACCTTACTTGCATTATTTTTACAACTTACTACAGGAAATACTCGATATACTATGTTACGTAACTAGTAAATAGGTACATAAACATTATCGTACATAGTTACAGAATACCTAACCTTGGCCTTTTATGTATATAGGTATGTTTACATAATAAACATAATGTTAATTGCCAGCAACAAGATAAAAAGTTAAAAGTGTTTCAGATTAGTCGGTTTTGGTAACTGCCTGTATCAAGAGACTACCTGCTACCTTTATGGGGTCGTCTGTCCACCTTGTGGGACTCGCCTCTACTCCAGAACCTCGCTGCCCCATTGGCGGTCAGTTCTATGTGCTACGTTCCATGTGGGCACATAGCACGTTGAATGTTAATAAGTACCTGCCCTGTGCCCTGTGAAAGTTCTTAAAGTCACTGCCCTGTAAAAAGTAATAAGTACTTGCCATGTACGTGCCCTATAAAAATTATAAATATGTACGTACCTGCCCTGTACGGCCCTGTAAAAGTTATTAAGTGACTGCCCTGTTAGTGCCCTGTGAAAGTTAATAAGTAGCTGCCCTGTACGTGCCCTGTAAAAGGTAATAAGTACCTATCATGTACATGCCCTGTGACAGTTCTAAAGTGACTACCCTGTACGTGCCCTGTGAAAGATCTTATGTGAATGCCCTGTACTTACGTGCCCTGTGTCAGTCCTTAAGTGACTGCCCTGTAAGTGCCCTGCGAAAGTTAATATGTAGCTGCCCTGTAAAAGTCAAGTACCTGAATGATGTGCAGGTCAGTGCCACAGATTCCTGAGTATTCCACTTTCACGACGACGTCGGTGTCGTTTTCTATCTTGGGCATGGGGTAGGCCTTGTCATATTTGAGGGTGAGGGACTTCCCATCGAAGACTACGGCCTCCATGTTGGATCTGTAATGATGATGAACTTTCTTAATCAACAAGTGAGTTTGTTCCCGTGGTGGACACCACGATTTGAACTAAATCATAGAAATCAGCCTAATAAGTCATCGGGGGCGTCCACCACGGGGTCAAGATAAATCGGGGGCGTAAGCCGCGAACCCTTGTGTATATCTGGTCTACACACATCGCAATAACATTTGGATGACAGCGGAGCGAAGTCTTGCGACTATGCAAAAAAGAACCGAAGGATACGCGAATACTTGGCTACTCACATCGCAATAGCGCGAATCTTCAGGTAACAACTGTGTACCGGTTGCCAGATCACACAAAAGAAAAAGCCGGACAGGCCGGACGAGAGAAAATTTGGCCGGACACGACTGTAAAAAGCCAAACATGTCCGACTAAAGCAGGACACCTGGCAAAACACTATGTGTACCGCATTTTCCTTTTATTAGATGGATAGACAAAACAAGAAATGAAATAATATGTAGTTACACAATTTAGGCGGTCTTATTGTTATGAAGCGATCTCTTCCAGACAATCTTATTTATAGAGGAGCGTGTTTAAAATAAATTAACGATGAGAAGATGACGGTGATTGGTTAAAATATTTTGTAATGTTTTTTCGTTAAAATAAAACTGATTTCATTAATTAACTAGCGGCCGCCCGCGACTTCGTACGCGTGGACCCCGTTTTACCCTTAGGGGTGAAGTTTCGAGTTTTTTAGGGTTTACCCGGAAATTATTCAAACTTCCGTAGGAGAACCAAAGTAACCGACATAGCTCGCAGAATTGCTAAAATCAAGTGGCAGTGGGCGGGGCACATAGCTCGTAGAGACGATGGCCGCTGGGGCAGGAAAGTTCTCGAGTGGCGACCACGGGCTGGAAAACGTAGCGTGGGCAGGCCTCCTACTAGGTGGACCGACGATCTGGTAAAGGTCGCGGGAAGAGCCTGGATGCGGGCAGCGCAGGACCGTTCATTGTGGAAAACCTTGGGGGAGGCCTTTGTGCAGCAGTGGACGTCATTTGGCTGAAACGAACGAACGAACGATTCAAACTTTTCTCGCTGTAAAAACCATCCTTGGACTTCAAAAAACATTTTAAAAAAAGAATTGGTAAAATTGGTCTAGGCGTTGTTATGCGCTTACCAACACATTTTGCGATTCATTTTTATATTATAGATTGTTATGTACCAAGTTAAGTTATTCAGTATTTTTAAAATTATGTATGGCTATAAATTAAACAATTTGGACTAACAGAATAATAGTTAAGATGTACATAATTATGGCATTACAACAGTTAACCCGGTAGCTACTAACTTGCCTCTAATACATGTAAACAAGTTTATCTACCGCTCCGCTACGTAAATAATATATTACATAATTAGTATTTATTTAATCTTACCAGTTGTATGTCTGGTTATCGCGAGCACCGAGGATCGACTGACAGTAATAATCGTATGTGATAACAGATAGAGAATTACACGAGGAAATTGTACTAGGGACACCATGAACTACTTACTTCAATTAATCATCGCTACATACCCCCTTACTAATAAAACTTACACGCTCGTTGAACAGTGTTATAAAGAGACGTTTAGTATGGAAATATCATTTTAAAACAGTGTTCAACAACTGTGTAACTTTTTATTAGTAAGGGGGATAGTATATAACAAAGTCGCTTTCCGCTGTCTGTCCCTATTTATGCTTAGATCTTTAGAACTACTTAACGTATTTTGATGCGGTTTTTTAAATAGATAGAGGTGATTCAAGAGGAAGGTTTTTAAGTAGGTACCTAGGTAGGTACATTGTATTGTACCTGTGCGAAGCAGGGGCTGGGCGCTAGTTTAATCTATCTAAAATATATAACTCAAAGGTGACTGACTGACATAGTGATCTATCAACGCACAGGCCAAACCACTGGACGGATGGAGCTAAAATTTGGCATGCAGGTAGACTTTATGTTGACGTAGGCTAAGAAAGGATTTTACGAAACTCCACCCCTAAGGGGGTAAAACGGGATCCACGCGTACGAAGTCGCGGGCGGCCACTAGTTATTTATAAAAGCGAAAGGTCACTAACTAACTCACTCATCACGAAATCTCAAAAACTATGAGTGTTAGGAGTCTGAAATTTTGCATGGGGGGTTCCTTTTAGAACGTATAGGTGCTCACTAAGACGGGATATTGAAAAATTCAACCCCTAAGAGCGTAAAACGGGATCCACGCCTACGAAGTCGCGGGCAGTCGCTAGTTAAAGAAAAACTACATGGAAGTTAAACATAGGGACAAGCAAACAGACTATATTAGACGTGTGGTTCCGACAGAGTGGAATAGGACCAATCTCAATCAATCAAAATCAATTGATATGTTGTTGGTAAATCTTTAACAATAAATAAATAAATCTCACTCTGATGTAGATGACGTAAGAGGCGACTAATGGACAAATATGCGAGCATCAGGCCTCCCCAACCCGTCTGGCCAGCGTGGGGAGTTTAGAACAAATCCTCCATTTGCCTCTGGTAAATTGGAGAGGGTTGAGTCCGTGCAGTGGAGATTAAATGACCTGGAAAATTACCCTCTTCCAATTCACTTGGCATAAGTTAGCCAGACGGGTTGGGGAGGCCTGATGTTTGCATATTTATTTATTTTTATTTATTTATTTATTTTCACTAACTTAAACTTTGTCCCTTAATCGCCTTTTACGACATACGGGAAGACTGGGCATCTTAACTATATCGTCACTACAGCACTATAGTACTACACGTGCCGGCCATAAAGAAACTCTTCCCCACCACCAACAGGAGGTGTCATAAGAGGTGACAAAATCCCTGCATCACTATAGTCCGATTTTTAATTCGACGGAATTCTGACAGCTGTCATTTTTTGACAAGTCAGATGTAATAAGCCTTTTTTGCTTTGAATTAATAATAAATAATATGAAATGAAATTTCATCAAGTACAACTTACAAGAATGAACTATTGTTTGTTTTATGAATTCAATGTACACTAATTATTATGTACATTTTAGAGATTAAATAGAAAAAAACTTGTTTTTAACACAGTAAAACAACATATTATCATACTTAAATGAAAATATGTATTGATCATCAATCATCATTATCGTCATCATAATCAAGCTGGATTATAAAATTGGCATCTTGTTAAATTGATTATTTTATGAAGCTAAGATTTTATTAACATAATTATTTTAATAAAAAAGGTTTGTAACCCATGGATTATTGGCCAGGGAGTCCAGTAATAGAAAAATAATTTCCCAATTTTTTTGTAACTTCGAAAATATGATAATAAAAATTCAAATAACCATTTTGAAATGATCAGTACATTTTTAAGACTTAGTTTTTCAAGTGAAACCTTATATTCAAGAAAGGGTTATTTTTTAATTTGTGAAAATGCTCTCCCTTCTTAGTGGGAATGTTTCAATGTTGCCAACACTTCTGAAATGTCAAAATTCCGTCGAATTAAAAATCAGAGTTTAGACGGGCAGCAGCGTCTGCGTGCGAAACCTTAAAAAAAACTGCGATCGCCAACCCGCCTGCCAAGCGTGGCGATTATGCCAAAATCCCCCCTATATTTGGGGGAGGCCTTTGTCCAGCAGTGGACGTCTTTCGGCTGAAACGACGACGAAGGCACGACTCTACACGACATAAACTGACTGGTAGTTTGAGCGGTAAGTAGGTACCTAGGTGTCAATTTTGTTTCATTGTTAGTCCATGATGTTCTATTATAAATAGACACCCTACACACCAACACACCACTTATCTCTTTATTATTTTGTTATTATTACTAGTAGTTGTGTTATTTTCCTAACGCGTCGATTTAATTTTATCTTCATAAAGATTTCGTGATAAATAATATTAAAAGCATAGAAGTGTTATTACTGCAATATCAAGCAGGTATTAGAATAGTTTGGTTATCTTTTGAATTTTATGTAGAAGTGGAGTGGTGTGCAAATAACTATGAAGTATCGGATTTACGTCATCGTTGCAAAGCTTTTTTCAAAAGTACCATTGACGTACTCAAAAGCTTTTAAAAGGTATCTATTTCGACATTTTTAAGGCTCAATACCGAATACAATCAGTTAAGTAAATATTACGGGACTATTCCCACCTCTCGTTCCTACCGCTGCAACTCCTGTGTAGCCAGGATCTACAGCTTGACCGCCAATAATAACCCAACCAGTGAAGGTCAAGTTTGTCCCGAGGAAAGTTAAACTATCATGGGACCCGCAGCTAAATTGATCAGAAGAACATAGGAGGAGTTCAAAAGTTACCTATGGTTCGACTTCCCTCCTTAGTGTCGATGACACAACGAAAATGTCTTGCCCTGCATCTCACCTGATGGAAAGTGATGATCAGACTGAAGGTTGAAGCGAGCTTCACCCAGAAACCTCAACCATAGAGGAATTGGCTATCTCCCCTCGAAAAACTGACACACAATAATGCTCTTAAACTTGTTGTTATGTTAAGTTAACAAGTTCTTCCACTAACCTAAGAGACTAGAAAACTTTGCCTCAACTGAGAATCCAACCCGGGAGCTTTGGGACTGACAATGAAGTTTCATTGCAAATAGGTAATCAAATTCAATGTATTTTGTTTAGAGAGTAGTTAGTTTATTTCAACCAACGGCCGCCCATGACTTCTTCGTACGCGTGGATGCCGTTTTACCTCCTTAGGGATGGGTTTCATAAAATCCTTTCTTAGCGGATGCCTACGTCATAACATCCACCTGCATGCCAAATTTCAGCCCGATCCGTCCAGTGGTTTGGGCTGTGCGTTGATAGATCACTATGTCAGTCAGTCAGTCAGTCAGTCAGTCACCTTTGAGTTATATGTACCTATTTAGAAGAAGATTTAAAATTTCCACCGTCACAACTCCGTAACTCTATCCAGTTTCCAGAACAGAATAAGTAGGTCGAGTTCCCCTGTCACTCTGTAAGGTGACAGTCAACAGAACAATCATTAGGTATGTGCCCAAAACTTCTGGCAAAGTACTCGTAACCCGGTACACAATTATCTATTATTGTACAAGGTCTGCATTTTCATTCATCAACTAAAGTACCTAAGTAGAATAATGGGTCATTCCACAAAAATATGACAACTCTTAGTCCGTGCCACATTTCACATGAAATAATTGTTAATATTTTATTCCAAAATTGTTAAATAACAGCTCGCAATGTGCTTTATTCATCACCTATTTGTATTTTTTGAAACTATTTTTAAAACATCTTAAATTCCTTTTAAATGACCCAAAACGTCATTCCCTAGGCATGTCCGTACTCCAAAAGTTTGTGTTTTGGAACCCATATTTATAAAAACATCACCTATATCCTTGGTTTTAATTAACGAATAATCAATTTAAATGTATATTACGCCAAATTCTATTAATATTTTGCGGTTTCAATAAACAATAATTTGATTTTCTTTAGTTGAAAAAGAGTCCACAGCTTTTAGCGTCATTCCCTCGCCACGCACTGATTTTATAATTTTGCGCTTTAATATGTATTTAGAGTGAATGACATTTAGTTGAGTTTAAAGTACGATACGAAGTTATCCTCAGACCATACTGACTTTGCAGTAGCCGTTTTTTGAATTAGTGCAAACGTGGCAGTTGTTGCGGAAACATGTGTTGATCCGGGCACTTCGTCAGTCCCTAGTTAAGTAGCTTTATTGATTACAATAGGAAATTGTATATAATTTAATAGTATTTACGTGTGGTTTTTCGGCTATTTTCGGTACATCGTATTAAGTATCTTAAAATATAAAGTTAAACTGCATTTGTGTTAAGTTTTACTCCAAATCGTCAGTCCCTAGACCGTCAGGCCCTAGCTTTAAACGGCGCTTGGGACTAAATTAATAGTTAGGGAATGACGTTTTTTATGTAGTGATAATAACAAAACAACTACATTAAGTATATTAACTTATTTATAAATGTTAAGGTTATAAGTTTTATACTTTATTAGAAGTCATATAGGAGTAATGTAGTATGAAAAAATTGAAAATTATAATTTCTCCTAAAATAAAGCATAAAGTGACTGTCCCTTTTAGACATAACATAATTAATTAATAAACTATAATTTACACTAATAAAGTATTCAAAAGTATCTTAAAAAAGTTACGGACAAAATGACGTCGAAAATATACAGATTTTTATGGAATGACCCTAATAGATTTTTTTTATCAATAATTATGAACTATCGCCTTTGAAGGCAAGATAGTAAAATATATTTATAGTAATAATAGTAAAATATTAAAATGTGCATTTTTTATTGTTCTGCAAGGTTTCCTTATCGCTCCATTATAATTTTATGACGTTATTAGTTTATGTTTATTTGCCCTGATTAACTTACCCCGCTCATATCTGTGATGACTTAAGTATGGTTATCAATTTTATTGTAATGAGCCGGTAAATACAACAATACCTACCTATTAATAAAATATAGTAGGCACAATAAAATGAACCTATTAACTAAGCTACTAAAACATAACATACTGTTACATAAAAAAATATTACTGTAATGGGTTTTATTTCAGTACTTACGTTGTTTTCAATTTATTATTTTTTACGGACTGAATAAAATTGCGTTATCAATTTTATTTTAATAGTGTTGGTTTAGAAATACAGATGGCAATAGTATCGCTCCAATAAGCGCCATCTAGTGGGGAGTAGATGCACTTATTAGTTTTATTCACAAACGCCATCTAGTTTTGAGTGGAAAAATCATTTATGATGCTTTCAAAGAATGAATGGTGCTGTTTTACCGACCAATGGGCGTGGTGTAGGTCATTCATGACAGTTTAATGTTGCAAGCTTATGGTAATTTACCACTAATTATTGTACAAAATAACGCTATGTACCCAGCATGAAAACAGACGGCTACTTTTTTGATCATCGTTTCATCGCTTGATAATGAAACATAAACTTTAACCGTTTAAAAATTTACTTTGCAATATACTTTTTTTTTTTATTATGAATTTATAAATTGAATTTTAAAAGGCTATAAGTTAATAATGTTTAATATTCCTACCCAATAAAACGAAAGACACGACGACTGTTTCACAAATAAAATAATAAAAAAATATTTTTGCAGATTTCGTACCGTACCTATAATCATGATTTTCGGGAATCTTTTTACGATACTCCTGGCAGCCCCATAATTTACCCACCTCCATTCATTCAATTTCGAGTACAGTTTCATTCAGTACACCAACCATTCAAACGGAACGATCTCAAACAATAACGCGAAAAATATCAAATTGAAAGTTTGTGAGAGAAGCTGTGGCTTGTTTTACACGATGGCGTTAAAAATATTTATATTTAGTGCATTATTTGTGTGCTTAACAACTTATGGTGAGTTAAAACTTATTTCATACGTTTAATACCAAGTTTTGTCATGCTCTAAATGCGTGGACCACAACGCTTTTCAGTTTGTTTTGCAAAATTAACGATTCGCAATTGTTTTGGTTAGCAAAGCATAGGACACACCCATTGGGTTAAGATTTAACGTTTAATCGTAATGCATATCCTTTAAAACATGTAAATAATTCGCGTAATGTAATAGTTTTTAGCGAAAACCGGTATGTAGTAGCGTCATTGTAACTCAGATTTTCTTTTGTGAACACCGCTCTTAATTCAGAACGCAATTTCTTCACCGTAATAACGGTTTTACACGTAAAATAACAAGATCTTGTGACTTAAAACTTAATTATAGAGATGTAGAGAAGGGTACGCGTTAAAATCGACCGGTTTTTTTCAAGGGTAACTGCTTGAAGGGTAGGTTTTTTGCGAGATTTCTGCTCCCCTTTTTTACACATGTGTGACGTTTAATTTTCTCCCTCCACGATTTTTACGAGAAATAGCCTAAGATGTTTTTAGAAATAGCACTATTATCCCCCTGATGAGTGAAATCAAAGTAGATCCTATCAGACCTATGTTTTGCCTATAGAGAATGTCCTATTTTATTTTATTTATAATATTTGGGAAACAATCAATTTTCATAACACACAAAAAAAAAACTACAAATTAGCATGAAGTTTCCAGATTCAAGTTTACCTTATGTACCTACCAGTTTTTGTGGCATTAAAGCTGGAATAAATATGCTAAATTCGTAATTATTTTTTGCAGTCTCCGGCCAGCGCACTCCAACGATCTCCCACATCACACAGGAGCAGATTCGAGACATCGGAGGACAAGTAGACTTGGACTGTTCCGTCCATTATGCCAACGAATACCCTGTTATATGGGTAAGCTTTATTGACAATAGGGAATATGCATCGATTTGAAAAGTTAATTAATTATGTATTAATAAACACTTTAGTTAGTTGATTCATAGACTTTCTGAAAAACTAGTATTGAAATCGGACTGGAAACAAAAAAGTTACTAGTGTTTAAACTGTATGGAAATAGCTGAGCGTGACGTCAAGTTTCACCCGCCCATAGTAACTTGTATGGGACTGCGTGTCGTTCTAACATGACCAATGACGTCATTATAACTTAGGTATCTTTTGAATTTTTTGTTAAAGAAAAGCACAGATTGATTTGAATGCCAAGGCTACTTAAATATGAGAAATAAAAAAACCTTGCATATTCCCTATTAAGACAGCAAATTATTTATTTAGTAACATTATATGACCTGATAAAGGTAGCAGGAAGGCGCTGGATGCAGGCCGCTACCAACCGTGCGATGTGGAAGTAATTGGGGGAAGCCTATGTTCAGCAGTGGACGTCCTGTGGCTGGAATGATGACGATGAACACTATTTGAGTATGTGGTTCTGGCATACATTAACACTGCAGTACACGCGCCCATTTTTTTACACGAATACACGCGCGGCCTACTCTGGTAAGCCAATTTAAAATCACTGTCATCATCATCATCAACAGCCCTTTACAGTCCACTGCTGGACTATGAGCCTCCTCCACTATAAATCAGTATATAAGCAATTAAAATATTATAAATAAAGTAAATAAAATCACTGTAAATCAGTTTATAAGCAATTTATGAATAGAACTACTATGTAAATGATAAAAGTGTTTATTATAGTTATTTTATAATCAAAGTTTTTTTATATAACTATTTGGGATCAAACATTATAAACAGATTTAAAAGTTGTAAATTTTTTGGACCAAAATTGCACTTTGAGACCAATGTTAACAAAAAAAAAATTGACTGAATAAATATGATTAGTTTTTTATCTGTCATAGTATTCATGACTTTCTACTGCCTGGTACACGGTGTAAATCTATTTGTTACAAATCTTTCATAATTTTTTTGTCGAGTGATTTCGGGATTTTGACTAGACCCGCAGTTTTGACGCCCAATTTTAGAAAAGTGCGCAGACTCTAGCGACCCAAGCTTTATTGGCTTACTGACAAATTTAGTAAACGAGGCTTTCCTGGAATGGCAGCTCTTTGGCGCAAGTTTTCAATAAGTTATAGCGTAAAATGTTACCCTGGTCTACTATAGTAGTCCGCGCGTGTACTCTAGTGTTAAAGACCACTTCTCATGGTCAAAAATATTGTGCGGGGTTTATGATAAATCCTACATTAGCCTCTGGTAAATTGAGGGTCGTGCTCCTGCAGTGGAGACTAATTATGTAATGACGTAATAATTATGCCTTTTTTGGTTACAAGTATGTAGTTACTGTAACATTTCGTCTTTTCTCCTTTTTAACCGACTTCAAAAAAGGAGGAGGTTCTATGTTCGACTGTATGTATTTTTTTAAATTACTATTCTCTTCTCGGATCGTTTGAAAGATACTGCCTCCTGATAACATGGACAAAATTGTGCCGTTCCTATTTTTTTGGACTCATCGTCAGTTTTTGTATATTGTACCTTGATATTTCCATTTCTGACATCAGTTAATCTCTGTTTACTACAGCCATTTAAACTTCTCAAAGTTCATGTACCTTTGTGTACAAGATTGCAATTTTTATTGGCACGTATTATTCCTACAAATTGATGATTCATTTGTTTTTAAAAACAGAGGTCACATAACACATTTGTAGTCCAGTCATGCATAATGTCCTGACAATAGCACAACAAGCTAAATTGTGGTACTTTATGTAGAGGTATGGTTCTAGCACTCAACGCAAATCACACTGCGCCGCGCTCCGCCGCGGTACGCGGGACGACAGATTTAATCATTGTATGCAAGTACCTCAGTTTGTATAGAAAACACGCGCGGCACTTCACACTGACAACGCGTCCGCGCGCGTGATTTTTTATATGAAAATCACGCGCTCCGCGGCGGAGCGCGGCGCAGTGTGATAATCGTCTAATTGAGTCAGTGCCTGAGGCATGGGAGCGGCACTGGAGGGTGTTTTTGGGACGTCCAACGTCGATCCTTATTATTCAGACGCCCGTATTCACAATTACTATGAGGTCTAACAGTGCGCGTGAACGCACAGGGTCACACACGAACCAATCATAGAGCTCTATTCAACGCTGTGCGTTCGATTTGCTGCTTCACCGTTTGTGAATACGGGTGACAGTGCCTAAAACTAAAATATGGGAATGGCAACATCAAACGTCAATCCTTAGATTCAGAGACAGTTCAGTCTCAAAGAGACGATTTATTTATATCATAATGCATTTATTAAATGGTCATTTTATATTAGCACTAGTGGCCGCCCGCGACTTCGTACGCATGTATCCCGTTTTACCCCCTTAGGGGTGGAGTTTCGTAAAATCCTTTCTTAGCATAGGCATCCTACGTCATAACATCTACCTGCATGCCAAATTTCAGCCCGATCCATCCAGTGGTTTGGGCTGTGCGTTGACAGATCACTATGTCAGTCAGTCAGTCCATCAGTCAGTCACCTTTGAGTTATACATATTTAGACTAGATAGTTCCAGCTATTGATCGTTTCATCCACAAAGACGCGCCCCACCAATTTTGGTCTCGGTCGCGCGGGGTGCGGGGAGTTTGATCCGAGCAATCCGAGCGTCATTATTGTAGTGTGCGTGTGCACTCATGGATGATTTAGCGTGTACCGATAACACTCACAGCGGAAGAATGGTGATGGTCTTCAACCAGTAACATTATCTTTTCAATTGCCTCACGTTTCATATTTGGTACATAGTTTGAACAAAGTCAAGCGTTTAAAAGGACACGGTAAAGATTAAAATTGATTCATAAAAAACTGATTTCGGTCGTCATTGAATATGTCTTTCAAAAGTCCCATTGGTTGGATTCCTTCAATAAAATGACTCATACAATACCCATACACGATATTAAATGTGTCATTGTATGATGTTATAGGGGCAGACATTGTAACTGAATAGTGTATTGAATTGACTATTTGGTGGGGTAACTGACCTATGTTAATATGTAGTTATGGGTCTTTTTATTGTCGAAGAGATTTAAACATTTTAATAGTAGCCGTGCCCGCGACTTCGTACGCGTTTTACGCTAAGTTTGAATAATATTTCCGGTTTGTGCAACGTTTTTCTTTACTGCTCCGCCCCTATTGGTTGTAGGGTGATAATATATAGCCTAAACCTTCCTCGATAAATGGGCTATCCAACATAAAAATAACTTTTCAAATCGGACTAGTAGTTCATGAGATTAGCGCGTTCAAACTCTTCAGCTTTATAATATTAGTAGGTAGATGGGAGTATTTTTACTGTCGAAGAGAATATTATACATTTCAATATTATAGATGCTTGACTTCTGTGGCTATATCGAAACTAATTTTAAAGAGGAAACATTTGATTCTTTTTTGTATTGAATTTTCTCCGAAACTACTGGACTGATTTCAAAATCAAAAATATTTATTCAGTTTAGACCACAAGTGGCACTTATGAACGTCAAATATAAAAAAAAAGAAAAGGTAGGTCGTATTTGAAAAATTCTTTCGCCATTACAATCCTACATTATTTATGATGAACTTAGGCGATACGAAGTTCGCCGAGTCAGGTATAATCAACATTAACGCCCACATTCACAAACGATTCTTGCTTAATATTGAAACAGCAAATCGAATGCACAGCCACGAGCGTTGAATAGAGCTCTGTGATTGGTTCGCGTGTCACACTGTGAGACCTCATAGTAATGTTTGGGAATACGGGCGTTAGATTCGCAATACTCACTGTGTAATTTCTTTAGAACACACTTCGAACATAAATTCTTTTACTTATCACAAGTTCTGGTATTGCTAGTAAAAGCGTGTGTATTCCTAGTAACATTGATCTAGACTAAATCAAGTTTATTGACTAACAATGTGCCTAGATGGCCTAGAATATAGTCTAGGACAGTGTTTTTCAACCTGTGGGTCGCGAGAGGTCGTTAAAACCACATCAGTAAAAAAACAGTAAATTTTATCCGAAATGCATAAATGTTGTATGGATTAAAGTATTCGGTCCCTACAACATCTTTGTAACATTATAAAATGCATGAAAAAGCGGACGGTCGGGGACCCCGCAAAATATTTTTTCATACTAGGGGGGTCGCCAAAATTTTTTTTGATACTAAGGGGGTCGTGTCATGAAAAAGGTTGAAAAACACTGGTATAGGATATGTTCCAGCTAGGACGATCTGACCGTGATGAAAGTCATCTGGGTTCCTTACAATTTATCTAATCAATTCGCAGGTTTATTTACATTTACTAGCGGCCGCCCGCGACTTAATACGCGTGGATCCAGTTTTACCGTAAAACCATTTTTGGACTTCAACGAACATTAAAAAAAATAATTAGTAAAATTGGTTGATTTGTTATGTAATTTATTTATAGGTGATCGAAGGAAACAAATAATTTATAATCAAACTTAAGTCCACTTTGATCACCCAGGTCATCTTATCCATTGGTGGTGATCAAAGGACACCAAATTGTCGCTTGGAGTCCACTTTCGTCACCTGGATGATCAAAGCCAGGCGATCAAAGTGGAATAGACCTTGGGGCAGATGACTGCATCCCACTTAACATCAGGTGCGATTGTGGTCAAATACCTGCCTTGTTATGCATAACAAAAAAAATGCCTTTGTCCAGCTGTGGACGTCATTTGGCTGAAACGAACCATTCCTCTACAATATTACAACTGATCCCTAAGCCCTGTTTCATCTGAATTGCCAGCTTCCTCAGGACTATTGACCTTGTTCTAAATATATTTATAACCTGGTGACGTAAATATCTCACTGTTAAACTCTTGTGAGTTGTGACGTCATGATCTTACTATGAAACTACACACCGGTCGAGTAAGGCCCAGAACAGACGGTGAAACGCAACTGCAACGAAACTGCAACTTTGTGATGATTCTGCTGAATGAAACTGAAACTAAAAGTTTCAAACTGGTCGCGTCATGTGGTCTCTCAACGGACGCTATGGCAGAAACTTAGATGCAACTCAAAAGTAACTAGCAGTTGCAGTTTCGTTGCAGTTGCGTTTCACCGTCTGTTCTGGGCCTAACTGCGCGCCTGATGGCTGTGACATTACGTCGACGCTCTGGTATAGATCGTTTCATCCACGAAGACGCGCCCCACCAATTTTTGGTCTCGGTCGCGCGGGGTGCGGGGAGTTTGATCCGAGCAATCCGAGCGGCATTATTGTAGTGTGCGTGTGCAATCATGGATAATTTAGCGTGTGCCGATAACACTCAAACGTTAGCGGAAGAATGGTGGGGCGCGTCTTCGTGGATGAAACGATTTATACGGACGGGGCGAACGCGGGGAGGTGTGCAGGTGAGTGCGAGGGAGAGTCGCATTCCAGCGCACTGCGCAGTTACCTCGATCAGGTCGTAAACAATCATCATCATCATCATTTCAGCCATAGGACGTCCACTGCTGAACATAGGCCTCCCCCAATGTTGTCTTTCCATGTTGATCGATTGGTAGCAGCCCTAACCTTTCCTACCTTTATGATGTTTTCGGTCCACCTTGTAGGTGGACGTTCCACTCTGCGTTTTCCGGTACGCGGCCTCCATTCCAGAACCTTGCTGCCCCATCGGCCGTCAGTTCTGCGTACTATGTGCCCTGCCCATTGCCACTTCAGCTTGCTAATCCGTCGGGCTATGTCAGCGACTTTAGTTCGTTTACGGATCTCCTCATTTCTGAAACAATTTCAAATCCTAAATCAGTAGACTTAAGTCAATTTTAATCAGTATCTAAATCCTCCACCTAAATCAGTAAGTATGGTTTTCATTTTTCTTTCCGCGTGGATTGGATATGATATTCTATTTTCAGATTTTTTATTATATTGGAAACGATTACCCAGTATTAAGGACGTTTTAACTTAAACCTGTTTCACATCAACCTAACTTTTTAGTTTTTAGTACCTTACGTGGTTTAGATGCTTTTTTTTACCAAACATTTCTCTCATGTAATGTTACACCGAACAAGGTAAAAAATGTTTAGGCAAATGCTTGTGGTTAGTTTAAGATTAAATTATTTATTGTGAAAGTATGAACAAATAAATTGTCTTTTATAAAAAAAGTTCCTGTTATCGAAAAACTTGAACAACAAGTTTTATATTTTTATCAATAAGACGCTAAAAGGTCACAACGATAAAAGGTCAGTGATAACTGATAGTACAAGTAGTAGGTACAGGGGTGCGGTTCTCAAATAAGTTTGGGAACTGATGCTATAAAAGGTATGGCCTATACCGCGGCGCCGGATTGATTTTTGAAATAATGTTTTATTAATAAATTAAACACCAAATCAACAAAAACCTACTCTAGAATCATAGAATGGGCACAGTTTGTTCGTTCGTTCGTTTCAGCCGATAGACGTCCACTGCTGGAAAAAGGCCTCCCCCAAGATTTTCCACAAAGACCGGTCCTGCGCCGCTCGCATCCAGGCACCTCCCGCGCCCTTCACCAGATCGTCGGTCCACATAGTGGGAGTGCCTACGTCTTCCGGCTCGTGGTCGCCGAGAACTTTTCTGCCCCAACGGCCATCAGCTCTACGAGCTATGTGCCCCGCCCTCGGCCACTTCTGCGATTCTGTGGGCTATGTCAGTCACTTTGGTCATTTTTAAGTGACCCCTATGGAAACAAAATTCCTGTTATGTATTACCATAGGTGTCGCTTGAAAATTAGGGATTGATGGTGAAAACGGGCATGAGTCTCCCTCCCCATTCTAATCTGCCGGAGCCACACTCTAAATTGACCAATTTATATTAATATTAAAATTTGTATGTTCACAGGTAAAATACGACCGCCTCAAGACAACAGAGTCGATACCTCTGTCAAGCAACGCCGGCCTCATCATCAGGGATTCCAGATTCTCCCTGAGATTCGACGATGCTACCGCCACCTATACTCTATCGGTATGTATTGTTATTGTTAATGTAAGAATTATGTTATAGTGTTAATTTTAGATTTGTGTATGAAGCGAACACGAATCTCACGCTGACGTAATAATTGCATGTACAGGAACACATTACACATTTAAATACAAATGTCGAATACACTATAGTCCGGTCGCCGAGCACATAGAATTTTGTCCAATGACCCCGAGTTACCCATCCTTATCGCTCGCGCGTAATTATATTGCTGTCGCGACTGTGCGACGGGCGCCCGCAGTGAGTGTGCAACATAATTACGCGCGAGCGATAAGGATGGGTAGCTTGGGGTCATTGGACAAAATTCTACGTGCTCGGCGATCGGACTTTCGCTACCTTGCTCTTGATAAATATAGTACGAATTTGTGCAAGCGAAATAGACTACCGCCCGTTTTCACAAAAGATGCTTGCTTAAGTGAAGCAGCAAATCAAACGCACAGCGTTGAATAGAGCTCTGTGATTGGTTCGTGTGTTACACTGTGAGTGCATCCACGCGCACTGTGAGACCTCATAGTAATGTTTGTGAATACGGGCGTATAATGACCTAATGATTACAGTCACAATATTATATCCACAGATCAAAGACATCCAGGAGAACGACGCGGGCTGGTATCAGTGCCAAGTCTTGATCTCCCTCATGAACCGGATCACTGCTGAGGTGGAACTCCAGGTCAGGCGGCCACCCATCATCTCTGACAACTCTACCAGGTCTATTGTCGCTAGCGAGGGAGAGAGTGAGTATACTTACGTCTTTTGGTCCTTGCCGTTTGCAGATTTATCTTAGCGCCCCGATTACGCTAAATATTTTCAACTGCAACGCGACTGGACGACGAACGATAGTCAGCTGTTCGCACAAATTCGTATCCGCGGTGTCGCTTTGACAGCTAGTTCAAACGGAGCTATAACGTAAACGGAACGCAGTTGCGCCTTTGTGAAAAAGCTGACAGAAAGCTACTTTTTCACTAGTCAAACGCTTCACGAACATTTGAAAAAATAAGGTGATCGGACTTTTAATGGAAAATGCTTAAATGTTTCGTGTTTGCGCGTGAACTTTACCGCGATACCGAATTGCACATCAGCTGGAATGAAAACGGAGCGTAACTGAAGTTTAACTAGAGTTGAAACGCGAATGAAATGGAGACATTATAAAATAGCGCAATCGCAATCGGGGCGCAAGTCTCTTCATCTCCCTCATGAACCGGATCACTGCTGAAGTGGAACTCCAGGTCAGACGGCCACCCATCATCTCTGACAACTCTACCAGGTCCATCGTGGCTAGCGAGGGAGAAAGTGAGTATTATTCTGTGCCCGCGATTTCGTACGCGTAAAAATAATTTGAATAATATTTCATGTTTTTGCAACATTTTTCTTGGTCCGCCTCTATTGGCTGTAGGGTGATGTTTAAGTGCCCAAAGCCTTCCTCGACAAATGGGCTATCCAACACAAAAATATTTTTTAAAATCGAATCAGTAGTTTCTGAGACTAGCGCGTCCAACCAGTTCAACCAAACAAAAATACTCTTCAGCCTTATAATATTAGTATAGATAGCACACACATAGTACGCAGAACTGACGTCCGACGGGGCAGCAAGGTTCTGGAGTGGAGGCCACGGCACGTATTGGAAAACGCAGCGTAGGATGTCCATCCACAAGGTGGACTGACAACCTCTTATAGGTTGCGGCGCTGCAGCTGGATACAGCTTAGGTCGCTGCTAAAATTCAATATGGAAATCATTGGGAGAGGTCTATGTTCAGCAATGGACATCTTTTTGTCTGAAATATTGATAACATGACAATTTATCAAAAATATAGTTCCTTATTACAAAAATACGTTGCTTAGGTCTAGATTGTACTGTAACTTATTTTTTTGTTTCTCTAGTAATTATGTTTTTATCTCTTTGTTTGTCCACAGGTGCCCAAATGGAGTGCTACGCCGGTGGATTCCCGCCGCCGAAGATCACTTGGCGTAGGGAGAACAACGCCATCTTGCCCACCGGTGGCTCCATCTATAGGTTGGTAACATCTTGGTAACATAAGATTTTAAACTACCTCGTTCCATTTCCACTTAAAGAGGGTTTTCGCGAATGAAAGATCCGCTAGATGGCTGGACGTGGAAGTGGGGTCTGACTGCTGCGTGATTGGTGGATTTTGACATATATGTCAATGTCATGTCAAAAATAACCAATCATGCAGCATTTGACCTCGCGTCTACGTATTGCCATCTGGCGGATTTTTCATTCGCGAAAACCCTCAATAGAAAGACTCGGGTTTTTAATTTAACTTGTGGCGACATCTATCGACACGCCACTACAGTCATCAACCAACAGATGGCGCTGACACTTACCTTACTATGGCACACGTCACCGCGCCTACAAACCTGCATCGCGGTGACAGAGTTCTCTGCTTAACTGATTATAGAAAACCGAGATGGTAAATAACCGGACCTTGGTGCCCAAGCACAGCACCCGCTCGGAAGGAAGCGATTCCATCTTAGCTTCCTTATTGTGGTTGAGCATCATATCCCACAAACTCATTAATATATGTCGCGTTAAGACCCGTGTCTTTCTGTTTAAATCTTGGTAAAGCCTGGTCCGTGAGCACGTACGAATCCCGTCCAATGACCCCAAGCTACCCATCCCTATCGCTTGCGCGTAATTATGTTGCTGTCGCGACTGTGCGACGGGCGCCCGCAGTGAGTGTGCGAGCGCGACAGCAAAATAATTACGCGCGAGCGATAAGGATGGGTAGCTTGGGGTCATTGGACGGGATTCTACGTGCTCACGGACCAGGCTTTAACATTCTCACACGCAAGCACTCACGTGCTTAAATGAGAATAAGTGTCGGCGGAAGCGCGGGGTGCGGGGAGCAATCCGAGCGGCATTATTGTAGTGTGCGTGTGCACTCATGGATCATTTAGCGTGTACCGATAACACTCAAACATTAGCGGAAGAATGGTGGGGCGCGTCTTCGTGGATGAAACGATCTATACTAGGGATCTCACAAAATTGGATTGCAGTTTAGACGAACCCTTATTACGGACGTGTAAAAGCGCTTTCTAAAAGCCTATTAGCAGAAAATAATTAAATAACTGACTTTAACTTACAGAGGCAACGTAATCAAAATCCCGGCGGTGCACAAGGAAGACCGCGGTACATACTACTGCGTAGCCGAGAACGGCGTTGGGAAAGGAGCCCGAAGGAACATCAACTTGGAGATCGAGTTCGCGCCCGTGGTTACCGTCCCACGCCCACGGTTGGGACAGGTGAGATTACAAATTCAAATCTATCTATATCTATAAAAGCGAAAGGTCACTGATTGACTGACTCACTCATCACGAAATCTCAGAAACTACAAGTGCTAGCAGTCTCCAATTTTGCATGGGGGTTTCTTTTAGAACTTAGGTGCTTACTAAGACGGGATTTTGCAAAATTCAACCCCTAAGGGGGTAAAACGGGGTTCACGTGTACGAAGTCGCCAGCTATATTATTTGGTCTAGCGTTTAACGCAGTCAGTGCCATAAAGGTAATATAGTTCCAAAATACTGAACTGTCCTATGCATGACATTGACAGTGGGGCGCCACCGTCAATACCGGATCGCTGGTTTCGATTTTTGTCATGTTGGAAACCATATAGTTGAACGATGGTAGCGCCCCCCTGTCATTGAGTTTGGCGGGACAGTTCAGCGTGGGTCATCTATACCTCGAGACACTAAGTAATCTACTAGATAAGCGCTACGGGACTATTCCCNAGCCTATGTTACTCGTGGATAATGTAGCTTTCGAATGGTGAAAGAATTTTTAAAAACGGTCCGGTAGTTTTTGAGCCTATTCATTACAACCAAACAAACAAAGTTTTCCTCTTTATAATATTACTAGCTTTCCGCCCGCGGCTTCGCCCGCGTGGAATTTTGTCTGTCACAGAAAAACTTTATCGCGCGCGTCCCTGTTTCAAAAACCGGGATAAAAACTATCCTATGTTCTTTCTCGGGACTCAAACTATCTCTATGCCAAATTTCATCAAAATCGGTTGCGAGGTTTAAGCGGGAAAGCGTAACAGACAGACAGACAGACAGACAGACAGACAGACAGACAGACAGACAGACAGAGTTACTTTCGCATTTATAATATTAGTTGGGATTAGTTGGGATATAATATATAATATAATTGTAGATGTTAGCTGTCAGTGACCGGTGTTTTTTTCAGCTCAGTGTATTTTCTGCTCTCGCAAACAACTGAACATTTACAAGATACACAGTGTCAATATTTTTAGGGTTCCGTAGCCAAACCCTTATTAGATTCGTCATGTCTGTCTGTTCGTCCGTATGTCACAAGTTCACAACCACTTTCCGAAACTATAAGAGCTTATACTGTTGATTGAAACTTGGTATGTAGATGTATGCTGTGAACCGCATTAAGATTTTCACAAAAAAATAGAAAAAAAAGCAATAAATTTTGGGGTTTCTCCATACTTAGAACTGAAACTCAACATTTTTTTTCATCGAACCCATACGTGTGATACCCCATCTAACAGGTCTTCAAATATGATATTGAGGTTTCTAATATTATTTTTTTCTCAACTGAGTAGTTTGCGCGAGAGTCGCTTCCAAAGTGGTAAAATGCTATCTGGTAAATAAATAGTAAAATCTAATTACTACATATATCACTGGAAAGAAGAAAAGCTAGAAATGTTTTTAAGATCATTGGTATTACATTTATTATTATCACATTTTTTTTCTAAGTCGATTTTTTATAGTGGTTTGTACTTTTGTTAAACTTTGGCGGCTAGTAACTAGCTATCCAATCATTAACTGGATCTAAAATTTATTTTATTTTACTAAATACATCGTTCGTTTCAGCCGAAAGACGTCCACTGCTGGACAAAGGCCTCCCCCAAGGATTTCCACGAAGACCGATCCTGTGCCGCTCGCATCCAGGCACCTCCCGCGACCTTCACANACTGCCTATGGCTTCAGCTATCTGTCACAGCTTAATTCGCTGATCTCTAAAGCAAGATTCTTTAAATTTTCATTATTTTATTCGTTAATGGCGAAATCTGGCCGCCCTGACTTGAGGTCATCTTTTGGCGACTCCCTGCCATGCTTGAACTATCGGATCCAATCTTTCATGATAGCAAATGAAGGCCAAGACTCCCCATAAACTGTAGACATCTCTTCAAATGTTACCGTCAGCGTTTTGTTCCTCTTTTTGAGGAGTTTTATGACAACTGTGTACTTCAATTTCGTACATTGCGCGGATGACTGAGACATGATGGCGTTTACAAATTAATTACTAAAAGCGTGATGACGCTAATGAAATGAAACTTTGTACATATACTAAGGAGGTTATTGGCTAATTAATTAAATTTAGCGCGAGTCAATAATAACACTTGAAGATACTTAGGCTCAAAACTTTTCAGCCGCCCCTCGTAAGAGCTTATACTGTTGATTGAAACTTGGTATGTAGATGTATGCTGTGAACCGCATTAAGATTTTCACACAAAAATAGAAAAAAAAAGCAATAAATTTTGGGGTTTCTCCATACTTAGAACTGAAACTCAACATTTTTTTTTCATCAAACCCATACGTGTGGGGTATCTAACAGGGGTGTCATACTTGCTATCGAACGTCGAAGTATCTATTGTCTAGATATTGACAACTATGCATCAACGGGTCGCTACATCTACGGTACTCTATATTAATTAGTACGTTACAATGAATGTTTTGTTATCGAACGTCGATGTATTTATTGTCTAGATATCGACAACTATGCATCAACGGGTCGCTACATCTACAGTACTCCATAATAATTAGTAGGTACGTTACAACGAATGTTGAAGATGGCGAATTTTCTCTTAAGATCCGTCATTTCATCGCTTTAGCGTATTTACCACCTATAGAGATACCGTCAGTTTTCGCACTTTTGAAGGAAAATGTTTTTCCAACAGATGATACTCGAATTGTGGAATGGTTTGAAACCTTAGATTAATAAAACCTAGATGGATAGTCTTCATACAAACGCTTCGTCAAGAGTGAGGCAAAAATCTTATGTCATTAGTGTCAATTTTGTTGGGGAGTGTAGACAGTGAAGGCGATTTTCCCGAAAGTAGGGAAATTTTTAATACGTTTTTAATTATTTTATAATTAACAAAAACAAAACGCATCATGTACTTACTTATTTATTGAATTCAAAGTACCTACCTAATTACAATAAGATAAATCGACTTAAAAGTCTCGATTTCATTAAAAAGGAAGTGTATTTGTACGGCGAACAATTGGGAAATAAATTTTCTTGTTACTGGTATCATTCCCGTATTTAATTTTTGAAAGCCAAATTCAAGCAAAATACGCGTCGAATCGTAGTAATTACTTATGAAATGTAACACTGGTCACTTTCTTTCGTTTTTCTGCTGTATTTAGACACTCTTTCACATCACAAACGGTCTTAATTAATTAAAAGTCGTCGGACGTGTTTACCAATTTTTCACTTTGACAGTTCATGTGACGTTTACGAGTAAGCCATTCTGGCTCACTAAAATCTGCCTCACCTTTCGTGCACTGACTATCTATCTAGGTTTTATTAATCTAAGTTTGAAACCAATTACGTGAACGGCAAACTGGTATCGCGAAATACTGGTGACTCAAAACTAACTATACGTAGAACAGTCCCAGTATTTCCTCCAGAATTGTGGTCAGTGCACCATAACAACAGTAATTTGCCGAGGACTCAAAATAAAATTGAAGCGTGGCACAGACGCTGGAACTCCTTAATGGATAGTAAAAAAATGGGTCTTTATGCCACAATTGGTGAGCTAAAAAAAGAACAAGCAGCCACCAACTTAACAATTGCCAGAATGGAAAGCGGGGTACCAGCTACTCCACCTAGAAAGAAAAAGAGGATCCATCAAGAAGCAATCTCGCGGTTTCTTGAACGGCGTGACGATAGTATGGATGTTTTTCAATTTCTGAAAGGAATAGCAAGCAATTCTTTTTTGTAGTACGTATCATGCACAATAAGATACTTTAACTTTAACTTTACTTTAAACATGTACTAATTAATTACTTTATTTCATTATTTAAATACACAATAATGTATGATTAAAAAATTGTTTTTTCCTAATACTTTACCTTTTACTACAAAATTTGGTAGGAAAATATTACTTACCCACCCTGAGAAGTTCGTTATTTACCCACCGCGACTTTTGATGTCATGACACTGATTAAACAACCGATTGATTTCATGACTTTTAATATGGAGTACCGTAGATGTAGCGACCCGTTGATTTCATGACTTTTAATATGGAGTACCGTAGATGTAGCGACCCGTTGATGCATAGTTGTCGATATCTAGACAATAGATACTTCAACGTTCGATAGCAAGTATGACACCCATCTAACAGGTCTTCAAATATGATATTGAGGTTTCTAATATTATTTTTTTCTCAACTGAGTATTTGCGCGAGAGTCTCTTCCAAAGTGGTAAAATGCTATCTGGTAAATAAATAGTAAAATCTAATTACCACATATATCACTGGAAAGAAGAAAAGCTAGAAATGTTTTTAAGAACATTGGTATTACATTTATTATTATCACATTTTTTTTTTTAAATTTTTTCTAAGTCGATTTTTTATAGTGGTTTGTACTTTTGTTAAACTTTGGCGGCTAGTAACTAGCTATCCAATCATTAACTGGATCTAAAATTTATTTTATTTTACTAAATACATCGTTCGTTTCAGCCGAAAGACGTCCACTGCTGGACAAAGGCCTCCCCCAAGGATTTCCACGAAGACCGATCCTGTGCCGCTCGCATCCAGGCACCTCCCGCGACCTTCACCAGATCGTCGGTCCCCCTAGTGGGANATTCGTGGATACCGCATAGTATCCGCAGTCCGTCTATTCCCGGTTGTGGACACTGACTATGTCCCTACTGAGAATAAATGGGAAAAAAATTATTGTCATTAGTGGCGACGTATAACAATCCTACTTCCTATCCTACTAATATTATAACTATAAATAAATAAATTTCAATAAATAAATAAGACGTGTCTAAAAAGCGCAATCTATCATCATTGGTTAAAATCTACAGCGCTGGACAAACTACTGTTTTTGACGTTCGTAAATATTCATGCGGGGGAAGCCGTGAAACGCCATCTATCAACATGATATCAAACAACAGATTTTACGAACTAAGGAGTAAAACGAGGTCCACGCGTACGAATTATTAATAAAATTAATAATACATATTTGTATTCATCTGGTCTTACTTGACTTTCNTAGAGCGTGAGAACACGCACACAGTCATAATTATTTTAGTGTGAATAAAACTAGCATCGAAATTACCTAAACTTGACATGCCACGCTAGACGTAAACGCTCTTAAGTTAAGCGCTAGAGCTATAAACCTGCTTGTACTTACTTTAGTTTTGTTTTATTTTCTTTTTTAAATTTATTTCTATGTAATGTTTCCCAGGCTCTCCAATACGATATGGATTTAGAATGTCACGTGGAGGCCTACCCTCCCCCGGCCATCATTTGGCTGAAAGATGAAGTGCAGCTGTCCAACAATCAGCACTACAGGTACGTTGAAAAATATCTATTGTCTCTAGCAGGAATTGAATCCATAATATGTCTTTTGCCAAGCAAATCCTTTGACCGGTGAGCTACCGAGACATAGGGTACCTAATAGAGTTAATGCAATGAGCCATCTCCCTCAGAAAAGTCAATTTCAGATTTATCAACTCGGAAAAGGGATCAACACGGTATCGCCTTTCGCACGGTATCAACCGCGAGGCGAGACGTTCACGTTACGGTGCGGATAAGAGTGCGTTGCGGTCTGGAGTTTCATACAAAGATTACTGACTGAGTTGATGCGGTTACGATCCCTTTCCAGGTTGATAAGTGTGATTCGTCCTTTAAAGTCCCTAAAAGTCGAGGTTTATTTCGATTTGCAACTTTAGATTTTGAGTGAAGTTGGCAGAAGTTTCACAACTCAGAATAGTTATAACAAAATGGGATTGGTAAAGTCCGGCCGCCTAGCAGATAAGATGACCCCAAGATACCCATCCTTATCGCTCGCGCGTAATTATATTGCTGTCGCGCTCGCACACTCACTGCGGACGCCCGTCGCACAGTCGCGACAGCAATATAATTACGCGCGAGCGATAAGGATGGGTAGCTTGGGGTCATTGGACGAAATTCTATCTGCTCGGCGACCGGACTTTGTGTTTTGAGAGCTTAAAAAAACGATGTCAATAAAATAATGTTCATGAACAATTTTTCTTTCTCCAGAATTTCCCACTTCGCCACCGCCGACGAGTTCACAGATACCACAATTCGCGTCATCACCATAGAGAAGAGACAGTATGGTGTGTTCACGTGCAAAGCCCAAAACAAGTTGGGATCTGACGAAGGAAAAGTGGAGTTATTTGGTGAGTTTTCCTTTTTTTTTTGTTTTTAAATAGGTTCTTATTTTAAATTTTCGTTCGTTTGGAAAATAAATGTTTTTTTTTTTTTTCAATTTGAAATACGTTCCTATTTTAAATTGTAATTTGTCCCTTCTTTTTTAAATTATTAACTTGTTTTTTTTTAACGAAAACATGTTGTTCCACCAATTTGGGATTTTTAATTAAATTGTTTTGAATGATGATATTTTTTGAGAAAAATTTTTTTTAATGCTTGCAATTTCTTTTTTAATGTTGAAGTTTTTTCTTTGGAATGTTAAAGATTTAAGCATTTTTTGGCGCTTAGCTTTTAAACCAATTAAAACGTTTTAATGTATTAGAAAAATATGTTTGTAGTATTTTCAAAAATTTCGATGTGATTATTTTTAGTACTTAAGTTTTTTTATTGATATAGATATGATATGACTCAAGAAAACTGGTGGTGATTCTGTAGTTAACTTAAAAATCTAAAAAATTATCATTGTTGTAAACTCTTTACCTCCAACTGATTTTTATTGTATTTTATTTGCCACCACTTTTCTACGTTTTCTTTTACAATTTTTATAAGCTATGTATATTACTGATCTTAGTGTTAATCGCAAAAAAATATACAAAACACAAGCTCATTAATTGCTCTCAGTTTTGCCCGAAATTCACTTTAGTCAGTCTTCCCAAAAAAATACTTTCACAGACAGATTTACTAGTTTTTGTCAGTAATTAAAGACTAGCTAACTATGGAGAAGCTAAAGTAGCGTTATGATTTTTGCAGTCTATGTATGTTTATATTTACCTACCAATGTTCTTTTGTAGATCTGCCCGAACGATTTTTTCTGTAGTCGGGTTACAGTTTTTTAAACTTTATTCATCCTTTTTTTATACAATTGTTTGCGTCAACTAAGCCCTAACTAAGAAATACCTAAGATCAGTAAGCCCCGCATGCAAGCATGGCATGTACTATTTTGTTTGTTTTTGTTTTCGCTAGAAACGATCATACCTGTTTGCCCGCCCGCCTGTGGTCGGGCTAACTATGGTGACGCTGCTTCAATCGCTCCATCATCGGCTACCATTGTAGCCCTATTGGGGCTATACACAGTTCATTTAGCAAGAAGGTATGGATAATTTCACAGAGTAGTTCTAGGTACTTCGTAGCCTATTGGTGGAAGGTGCGGGTTCAGTGAATCCAAAAGCTAAGCGCCTTTATGAGAAGCCACTATTTGGATGGGTGACCGTTTTTCTAAATTTCAAGGTGAGGAAATACACACGTAAGAAAGAGAACGTCTTGTTGCACTTATAGCTTTACACTTGAAATGAATGGTTTCTTCAAACTGTCAAGCTAGACGTGCTAACTGAGGAGTGTCTATTCAAAAGGGGATATTTACATTTTTATTATTTATTAAACTGAGTATGCAGTCTTGTTCTTAGTGCTGAATACTCACTTTCGTCACTTGAATCTTAATCAAAACGGGATATTCTCCCAAGTAAAGCAGCTTCAAATATGAGTGTTCATTTCAGAACAGGATATTTACACTTACAAAATTAAAAAAATAATAGTTATTTTTCATTTCATAACAAGAGAGGATATTTACAATACAAATATTTACACTATACCAATTAGCCGTCTCAAAACGGGATATTTACTTTTACATAGTGTTTTATTTCCTTTAACTTTATGCTTTAGGATTTATTTTTAGACATTTTACTCTGTAAAACGGAACGCAAAATTAACGTAAAACGAAATCTATGTTGTGTGATTGTCTGACACCTGATATTGGACAAATCAGAGCCCCGATTACGGTAATTTTTAACGTCAACAATCCAGACACGCTTCTCGATTCTGCGATACGATTGGTCGTTCAACAGCGTACGTCAGCTGTTTTGACCAATCGTATCGCAGAATCAGAAACGCGTCTGGATTGTAGACGTTATAAAAGTTACCGTAATCGGGACTCAGGATTTGAATGTCTAATAATTAAAAAAATATAATTCTCTTTAGTAGCGTCTTTAATTTTGGTCATTATTATTATCAAAAAAAAGAATAATCTGTGTTTTATTATCATTTAAAATCTTGAGATGTACAATACAAAAGAGGATATTTACAAAATAGTAGGCTCAACTAAAGGGGATATTTACAGTAAGTACAGAACAAAGGGGGATATTATAAAAGATCCGTGTCAAAAGAGGATATTATGATTTTTCTGAACTCTGTAACTTTAAATTAACAAGTCATATTTTTTGGCAAAAAGTGTAGTTAGAACACTGTAATGAAATAGTTTCATAACAGAAATAATGCTTTTCGGTAGGTCTGTCAATATTTCCCATATAAGTTTTTCCCATTTTGTGAAAAATAAGATAGAATGTAAGTATCCCCTTTTGAAAAGACACTCCTCAACTATGGTGACGCTGCTTCAATCGCTCTCCATCGTCTGCCACCATCATAGCTCTATTGGGGCTATACACAGTTCATTTAGCAAGAAGGTATGGATAATTTCACAGAGTAGTTCTAGGTACTTGATAGCCTATTGGTGGAAGGTGCGATTCAGTGATTCCAAAAGCTAAGCGCCTTTATGAGAAGCCACTATTTGGATGGGTGACCGTTTTTCTAAGTTTCAAGGTGAGGAATACTCACGTAAGAAAGAGAACGTCTTGTTGCGCTTATAGCTTTACACTTGAAATGAATGGTTTCTTCAAACTGTCAAGCTAGACGTGCTAACTATGGTGACGCTGCTTCAATCGCTCCATCGTCTGCCACCATCGTAGCTCTATTGGGGCTATACACAGTTCATTTAGCAAGAAGGTATGGATAATTTCACAGAGTAGTTCTAGGTACTTGATAGCCTATTGGTGGAAGGTGCGATTCAGTGATTCCAAAAGCTAAGCGCCTTTATGAGAAGCCACTATTTGGATGGGTGACCGTTTTTCTAAGTTTCAAGGTGAGGAATACACACGTAAGAAAGAGAACGTCTGTTGCGCTTATAGCTTTACACTTGAAATGAATGGTTTTTTCAAACTGTCAAGCTAGACGTGCTAATTATGGTGACGCTGCTTCAATCGCTCCATCGTCTGCCACCATCGTAGCTCTATTGGGGCCATACACAGTTCATTTAGCAAGAAGGTAGGTATGGATAATTTCACAGAAGACTTCTAGGTACTTGGTAGCCTATTGGTGGAAGGTGCGATTCAGTGATTCCAAAAGCTACTATTTGGATGGGTGACCGTTTTTCTAAGTTTCAAGGTGAGGAATACACACGTAAGAAAGAGAACGTCTTGTTGCACTTATAGCTTTACACTTGAAATGAATGGTTTCTTCAAACTGTCAAGCTAGACGTGCTAACTATGGTGACGCTGCTTCAATCGCCCCATCATCGGCTACCATTGTAGCTCTATTGGGGCTATACACAGTCCATTTAGCGAGAAGGTATGCAATATTTCGCTAACTATTTCTACAGGGTGGAAACGTTAAGTGATCTCACTCGATTATTTCTAAACTATAGAAGATATCGAAAAACTGATTACTGATTCTGAAAGTGCTTCACAAGCAGTTTCAAACGGTACAAATAATAGGTTACATAATAAACTGGATCTATCCGAAAATTTAATGTTTTCAGCCTCCATACTAAATGTATGCAAACCAAACAATAATAGAAGTTTTTTTTTTATTAAACAATAAACACTTAAAATGAACTCGTAAATTGCATTTTTATTTAAAATTATTCGTGGAAAACATTGGTTTTAGGCTTTACTTGCTATAATATTATCAAGACATGAGTGCCATGACTGTGGCTGTACTAAATGTATGGAAGCTGGAAACATTGAATTTTCGAATGGATCCAGTTTATTTTGTAACCTATTATTGATACCGTTGGATAGAGCTCGTGAAGCACTTTCAGGATCAGTAACCAGTTTTTGAATATCTCGTATAGTTTTTAATATTATGTGGTTTTACTAAATGTATGGAAGCTGGAAAATTAGAATTTTCAGATAAATCCAGTTTATTCTGTAACCTATTATTGGTACAGTTTGAAAGAGCTTGTGAAGGACTTTCAGAATCAGTAATCATTTTTTCGATATCTTGTATAGTTTAGAAATAATCGAGTGAGATCACTTATCGTTGCCACCCTGTATAGTTGTCATGGCCCATTGGTGTAGAGTGCAGACCGACTGAAGCAAAAGTTAGGCAACTTTGCAAGAGGCCGCTATTTGGATGGGTGACCGTTTCAAAAACCTTTATAGGTATGACGTGAATTCTTCTTCCTCTGATTATTTAATTTTCATTGTGTAGTGCTATAGGTTTGGTAGCTCATTGGTGGAGAGCGGAGTCTGGAGAAAAACTCCAACTTTGCGACTTTGTTTGCAACTCTGCGAGAGGCCACTATTTAGATGGGTGGGTAACTGTTTAATAAGTTACCGAATTCATGGAAAGGAATGATACCCCGTTCTTCAAAAACTGGGCGAAGACCCTCTCAACACTTTCCATCAGGTAAAATGCAGGTTAGAGCTTCAGAAACCCAGAAAATAAATATTTTTTATAGCATTATGATTATGAAATACGTTTAAGTTACGTTGTACTTTCGAATTTGTTTTTTTTTATTTGCTTTCAATCGTATTTTTATGCCATCGCATGAAAAATGACTTGGCTATTTCGTTTGCAATTTTTTGATAAAAGGACAATGGGCAAAATGGTACCCGGCTCCAATAGATATGCTTCTAGTGTCATTTGAAAGGTCTTACCAAGACAAACAACTTTTAATCTGACCACCAGCCTCAGATCTGGTTGTGTTCGAAGATAAACATACTTTTTTGCAGAATGGTACCCGGCTCCAATAGTTATGTTTGTAGTGTCATTTGAAAGGTCTTACCAAGACGAACAACATTTACTATGGCCACCAGCCTCAGATCTGGTTGCGTTCGAAGATAAACATACTTTTTGTGTAGTCGAAGTATCACACGTGTCCATCGTATGGTACTTAGGTTATGCGAATCATGAAGGGTTTACTGCTCCAGCATCCTTCCTTAACTCTATAATTATTTATAGGGATAATTGTGAAATAAATATTTTTATTTGAAGAACTACTACCCCCTTATTAATAAAAAGTTACACCTAGGATGAGCCATGGATTAAAATGACATTTTAAGCCAGAGTTCAACTAGGGTGTAACTTAATCTATACTTCTATACTAATATTATAAAGCTGAAGAGTTTGTTTGTTTGTTTGTTTGTTTGGTTGAACGCGCTAATCTCAGGAACTACTGGACCGATTTGAAAAATTCTTTTTGTGTTGGATAGCCCGTTAGTTCCTGAAGGCTTTAGGCTATTTATCATCACGCTAAGACCAATAGGAGCGGAGCACCAATCAAGAATATTTCAAATCAGTGATTTTTTTCCTTTTGAGAGCTGACGCTGCGTAAACGGTTAAAGTTTCGCAAAAATCATGTATGACAGGATTGTTCCCCTTTAAAAGTTCTTTAAAAAAGTCCGCGGTAGCATATGTCTATCTTTTAAGGTTGGCTCATAGTAACCATTTTTATGCAAAAAAAATCTGTTTTAAAATAATGCATTATTTGCGAAGGTGTTTTTATAAACATGATATTAATCCTTATCCAAATAAATAAATTATTCACCACAAGTATTTAATTTTAAACATTCTTGCCCTTTACACCATTCGATTTCAATAAATATCTTAGGAGATATCGCAGTTTTAAAATCACATCGCAGCAAAATAATGATCAAGTACTACGCGCGCTACTGATGGATCAATGCACAGCCTAAACCGCTGATCGTAAAGACCTGAAACTTGGACGGTGTGTTCTTTGTATGACGTAAGCATCTGATAAGAAAGGATTTTCCAAAATTCTACCCCTAAGGAGGTAAAAAGGAGGGGCAAAGTTTGTATGAAATAACGAGATTCCTTCGTCCAATCTACTTAAAATTTTGCATAAGCATTCTATAACAGAATTAATGGAAGACGTGTTTCGTATTTTAGTGAAATGCACCCCCTAACTATGTTAAAAAGGGGTAGAAAGTTATTTTAGTGGTGATTTGCTTCAAAGTTGATATTAATTACTCATTAGTGCATTTTTTTACAATCATGACGTCATGTTAACGACTACCATACTCTAGGGGCCTCCACTTAACCTCGGAGTGGGTGCCCGCTGCGTGCGCTCGCCCAACAATGCATAGTAATGCATGAAAGTCATGCCGCGGGCACCTGCTTGCGCTGTATACATAAACTCATTTTCGCGCGAGAGTTTTGGCGGAGGCCCTTGAGGTAGTGGGAGTAGTCTTGAGGAAAAGCTCCTTCTCCCACGGCCAGTGGCATGCTGGAAGCTTGGTAATTCTAGCACCCGTAGGAAAATATAAAAAAAAGTTTACCAATAATACTGCGGTAGGTGTAGTTTTCGATTTCGTTGTAAAAAAATAATACCACCGAGTAACTTTCACCGGATCAAAGGCCGAGCTGCATATTCATAAAATATAAGAAAAAAATATTTTCATGTTTATTTAACCTGATTTTTATATTTTAAAAGTATTCAAACATTTAGATAATAACGTTAAAACATTTAAAAATAATCGTATGAGAACGTTTTCGACTTCTCCACGGACGAAGTCGCGGGCAAAAGCTATTTGTAAAATAATTAGACTAAATTATTAAAAGTGCCTACCCAAAGTCATTATTCCACGCGGACGAAGTCGCGGGCACAGCTAGTTTTATTAATAAAGGGGTTAGAATTTTATTACTTCTTAAAGATTTTATTATGGGTTGCTAAAGTGAATAAACCCACAAGACCCAATAAGTTCACCCACAAGATGGACCGACGACCTCATAAAGGTAACGGGAATACCCTGGATGCAGGCTGCAACCAACCGGCCATTGTGGAAATCATAGGGGGAGGCTTATGTTCAACTGGACGTGCTATGGCTAAAATGATGATGATGATGAAAGAGAATCAAGGGCTAATAGCTTGGGTAGTTCGTCGTAGGTATAATACTTTCCTTTTCAATGTTTCTTTTAGTTATATTAATAGATTGTAGTCATAGTACATACTCGTATACATGGACGATTGTGTTATACATACTTTCTTATAATACTTAGTGGAATTACTGCTTTCAAAACGTGAATTAGAACTGGCCCCATAGCAGATATTTTCCTACATCTAAAGGCCTTTTGAAATATATATTGGTTATGGCTATTGGAGCGGGTACCACTTTCCATACATTTGTGCCCATCATCCTTTATTTTTCAAAATTTAGGGTAGATGTACCTAACGTCATACTTTACAAAATAAAAAAAAAAATAAAAAAAATCTGTATAGGATCCCCTCCCTCCTTCATTAATTACATTGTTTGTAGTCTTAAGACTGTCAAGGTCATTTAGTCTCCACTGCAGGAGTACGGCCCTCTTTAATTTACCCGAGCCAAATGGAGGCTTTAGCCTGGAGAGAGTGGTCTATCATATTCCCATATTACTAGTATTGTAAAGCTGTTCAATCCTCTTTTATTGAAAAATGAAAGTTATTTTGGCACATTTTTTTACCTATTTTTACTAATAAATTGTATTTTTTCTTCCAGAATCTTCAATACCAGACATTAACTACGCGGGACTCCGCCGCGACCCAAACTACTCCGGTAGTTCTAAAACGACACATATCTCCACCATATCTGTACTGTTTTCTACCATTACACTTATTTTTAACTGGTAACACCATCGCGGATGGTAGTTTTTGAAATTAAGTTCAAAAAGAAAAGTAATGTTTGTCTTAATATTTCAAGGTTTAGGGATTTGATTATATTGATATTTACACCATGTATCAGTACATTACGAGCGCGTTTACTGAAAACTCACACTAGGCCCTCTGTTGCTAACTGTACATGGTATAAATCTCAATGTAATTTTTTGAATTAAACTTAAGAACTTAGTTTTTGGATTAGACTGCCGTAATTATAAAGTGTAAGGTCAAAAAGTACAAATTTTAAACAATAAAAAAGATATAAGTGTTGCCAGTGAAAATAATCCTTTTTTCTACTTAAGATTTTGATACTAGATTTTACTATTCCTAAAGGCAGCAATTTAATGTAATTTAAATTATATTTTGCCCACGTTTTCTTTTAATTTTTAAGATATTAGGGTTATGTCACCTGTTTGCGTCCACTGCCCTTTTTCTTTAAAAACTTGAAAAAATCGCCAAATTAACAAAACCAAATGCTTTTTAAGTATTTTCTGATATTTTTGAAGAATGGTCCGACGCTTGGACGCGAATAGGTGACATGACCCTACTCTGCAATAAACGTACACAATTAAAATTCACAAAATGACTGAATTATGTATTATGCATTTTTCTACTGAATATTTCTATAAGTACGTAGAAATGTGGATGTACCTTTAATTATAATGTCAACTTAAATAATGATTGTTAAAGAGTAGTTTTAAGGAGACGTGTTTATGAAAAATCGCAATTTCGGTAGTTGATACCAATAACCAGTAATTCTTAAGACACAATTTCTTTAAAAAAAAACACTTGAAAATTAAAATCCAGTTTTTTTTTCATTTATAAAAAAAGATTATTAGCAATTTGTATTGCACAAATTACTAATAGTCCTGTTAGCCCCTCGTGTTAAGCTAAATAAGCTTGTGTTACGAGTGGGCTCACCACAATGGTCTACTTAATACTTTTCAAGTGACTGTAAAATTCGTAATTTTTGGTAAATTTGAAATCAATTAACAGTGAATTGAGTTCGCAAACCAGTGACGTAATACATTACCATAATATTTGAAAGAGGCGCGTTTTGATCTAAAAAAAGTATATCATTTGACTGTGTGAAAAGTGGTACAGCTACCCTATTAAAGTTTTGATTTAAAGACAATTTTTACTCATGAAGTTTTTCTACCAGCCATTTTTATAATCCGGTGGTTGCTAAATTATTGCCCTTATTTTGGATTCTACTTAAATTAAATAAGATTAAAAATTAATGAAATAAACATGTGATTTTAACGATATTTTGAACGAATGAATCTCTAAAGATGAGCCCAGTTATTTGTAATTGAAGTCTTATGACAACAACGGCAATATGAAGTAAGATCTGATAATAGAATTAGTAGTATTTATTTTTATACGCATTTTTAATTATGAATCTCATAGACGCTTATGCCCGTTTTCACCATCAATCCCTAATTTTTAAGTGACCCCTATGGTAAAACTTATTTCGTTTTCATAGGAGTCACTTAAAAATTAGGGATTGTTGGTGAAAGCATGCATTAGTTTCTCGTATGCCTGTAGATTTTTAACCTTAAAAAGTAAATATCAAATATTACATTTTCTAAAATTTCGTAAAATGTTTTAATATTTTTGCAGCTAATAAACAAAATTATAATAATAAGACTGATGGATAAAAAATATACTTGACACAAAGGTTTTGGTAATTACTAACAATAACATCAATATTAATTTCTTTCACACACGCTGAAACATAATACGAGTAAAGGATGTAGCACATTTATCAACCCGGAAAGGGATCGTATCCGTCTGAACTCGAGGCGGTCAGTATTCTTTGTATGAAACTCCATACTGCAACGCACACTTATCCGCACCGTAACGTAAACGCATCGCCTCGCGGTTGACAGCGCGCGAAAGGCGATACGGTGTTGATCCCTTTCCGAGTTGATAAGTCTGCTATGAGCAAGAGACACGTAAATAATGTTTAAATTGCTTGAAATTACCATTAAAAACTGCCAATATCTGTCTCTTTCACACATACCAGAATCCTAACATGAGTAAGAGAGATGTAGATGTATTAAAATTGTCGTAACAATGGCAGCTAAAATAGGCGTACGAGAAACTAATTTTATTGCATTTCTTAAGAGTGTAACAGCTTCAGTGTGTACCTATAACCGATAGCTTTATTTTATAGAACTATATTGATGTATAACACGCTTTATGTACCGTGTATAATAATGTTGCACTATTTTAATTATAGTCAGCGTCAAATAGTTCGTGGCACCCAAAGTAGCCAAAAAGTTCGTAACGCGTCTTTGTTACAATGAGGGTTTTCGCGATTGAAAAATCCGCCAGATGGCAATACGTAGACGCGAGGTCCAAATGCTGCATGATCGGTTATTTTTGACATGACATTGACAGATATGTCAAAATCCACCAATCACGCAGCATTTGGACCTCGCGTCTAAGTATTGCCATCTGGCGGATTTTTCAATCGCGAAAACCCTCATTGGAATAAAGTTGTGTTGTCAACTTTTTGGCCACTTTGGGTGTCACGAACTATTTGAAGCTGACTGTACCACATTTTTACGGAATCTCAAGGGAAATGGATATCATCTCCCTGACTAAAGTACTATTAGATTTGTGTAACATTATTGTCTTAACTAGGCCTAAAAACTCCAGTGATAAAATATTATTACATTAATTGTCAATTTTTTTAACAAAAATCTTAACTATTGACCCATTTTGAGTCTGCCAGATATATTTGTCTCTTTCATTCTAGCCACCAAACTAGTTGTGTGAAAGAGACAAATATACACCTTGATTTCAGATTGTTTAAAATGTTGACAGGATTGTAATAAACTTATTTAAAACGCGACAAAGCTCGGATTTGTAAAATCGATAGTATATCAAGCTATCGATTTTCGGCGAATCGATGGCGAACGTCACTTTGTCTATAGCCTTGCCGAAAAAAGAGCGAGTCGCTTTAAGGACGTAGCACATTTATCAACCCGGAAAGGGATCGTAACCGTATCAACTCGAGACGGTCAGTATTCTTTGTATGAAACTCCATATTGAAACGTACACTTATCCGCACCGTACCGTTACGTATACGCCTCGCCTCGCGGTTGACAGCGCGCGAAAGGCGATACGGTGTTGATCCCTTTCCGAGTTGATAAGTCTGCTATGACCTTTAATATATCACAATATAGGTTGTGTGTCATGTATTTGCAATTGTAGATTAATAAGCTTTATTAACATAATGAAATGTTTTAATGTATTTTTAGTGTATATCCCATCCCATTCCTTTACAATATTCAATATTGATTTTTGTTTATTCACATTCCAAAATATGTATTTTATTTCAACGTCGGATCTCCAAAAAAAACTCGGTTGTAATGTAAAATTGTTTAGACTGTATAAATCCATCCATTTTTGTATGACTTACTACATATATACGTATATGATTATGTATATTTTTGTATGTAATGTATGAAATTCACAAACTTTTTAGTTGCAAGTCCCTTAGTATGTGCAGTTTTGTTTTTTATAAATAAATGACTAAAAATATTTTTGTCTTTATTTTTTACGTGAACGAATATCTGTTAAGGATGGAGCACACTTATGAAGCTGGAAAGGGATCGTAACCGTATCAACTCGAGGCGGTCAGTATTCTTTGTATGAAACTCCATACTGCAACGCACACTTATCCGCACCGTAACGTAAACGCCTCGCCTCACGGTTGACTGCGCGTGAATGGCGATACGGTGTTGATCCCTTTCCGAGTTGATAAGTCTGCTATGACCTTTATTCGTTAACATCAAGGGTACTATAATATTCTGGACTAATGTAAAAACGACAAAAATCAGTTACAAAATATTTATTCTTTATTTTAAGTATAATTTTTACAACTTACACGTGAACATTTTACATTAAAAAATATAATTTGGTCACTGGTTTAAGTGGGAAACTTCTATTATTATGTATACTGATATTATACAGTAACTATTATAAGTATATTATAGAGCAATATATTTCAGATCTATCCCTCTCTCTCACTCTTATATGAGTGAAAGAAATGATTAGAGCCAGCTTTACATACCCCAAAAAGTAGTGTCAAGCTGAAGCCCAGAGGATAGAACATTAGGGCAATCCGAATCACCCCCACGTATGTTCCATGATTTTTTAATAGTTTTCAAAAGTCGCGGTGATTCGGGTAGGCCTAGTGATGCTTTATGTCTGGGCTTCGGCTTGACACTACTTTTTGGGACATCTTGTATACCGTTTCAGCCAAATGACGTCCACTGCTGGACAAAGGCCTCCTCCAAGGTTTTCCAGAATGCACGGTCCTGCGCTGCCCGCATCCAGGCTCTTCCCGCGACCTTCACCAGATCGTCGGTCCACCTAGTAGGAGGCCTTCCCCAAGCTACGTCTTCCAGCCCGTGGTCGCCACTCGAGAACTTTTCTGCCCTGAACATCTTGTATAAGTTTTATTAACAAACTCCGAATTACACATTTTTTTAACTCGGAATTTATTGCAATCTCTTTAATTTTGACACAACGAATATAAAATACACTTTGAAACAACGAACACACTAGATACTCTTCAATAAGTAGCAAAAAAACCGTGTAACTTCGTAAAAATTCGGATTATCACAACCCGTTATTTGACAATAATTATTACAAATTGGAGTCACCAGTTGGCGCCACCGTCAAGGAAAGAGCTGTCATTTGGCGATGGCGCCAACTGATGAGCTCCAAATCGCTAACTTTTTCGCTTACTTTTTTTGACACGCATCGAAGAACGTGTTTTTCTAGTGAGTACCTGGCTTTGTATCGAAAATCGTGTTTAAAATACACCTTTACAACTTTATTCAAGTAGTAAAGACTCTGTCAAACAAAACTTAAAAACTTACTTTATTATACAGTTGACAGAGCCTAAAAACTTGTCCCTACACTGATCCAACCTAAAACTTATAATTAACTTAAAACTAAATCACAATTAGGTTTAAATTACATTGTGACAATGTTAACCGCAATAGGTATTTTCTTGTTATAACTATTAACAATAAGATTTGGTTGAAAATATTTAATGCTTGCCATGTCAACTCCACTCATTTTTTATTCAAAGTTATAACGAATGTCACATTTTCTATAGGCTCATCTGTTTCTGTCATGGTTTTGTGGCGAATTTTACTAAGAAGACAACTTCAAAGCCATAGCTACATATCGTCAGAATGATCAATAATATTAATTAAAAATACTAAAGTTATTTACAAATAAGGTCAAATACCTACTTCATTTATTTGTTTGTGTAATTTGGTGTTATTTTATTATCAATTGAGCAACATTTTAATATTTACAGTAAAAAAAAAAACTTATAATAAAATTAGAAACAATAAAAATGCCATTTGTACAAAACCGGTGTGAAATCTTCGAAATATTTGCCTTATTCAAATACATCACTAACACAAATACAAACGTAATAGAATTTATCAATTGCAGCACCCAATAGAAATTATTGAATTTAATTGACTCATCGCCAATGGCGCTGTGTGCAAACTAGATTGCGGTGGCAAATCGAGTTCAAAACCATAGCCGATGTCCAATAAAATTAAAACAAAGCAGACTAACGACATTTTAAAGCATTATGCCAGTTGTATTGGTTTTATTTGGTATATTTAATCTACTTTTTTGTATACAACACCCCTCAATAATGAAACATAGCCAAAAAATGAGAATACACCACACAAAAAAATGTTGGTACCTAGTGTCAACTATTTTGTGGTTTGTCTTATCGTATTGCACATTGTATAATTACATTGATATTTATTATTTGTACAATTTGTAAGTAATCTATTTCACAACAAAAACGATGAAAATGTACTCCACAGTGCGTATAATGCCAGGAAGTAGAAAAGCATTGTTACTAACTGATGAAGGTAGTACAATCTGGAACAAAAACATAGTTCATGATTATTTAGAAGAATGTATTATTATAAGTACACCACCACCGACGCAATGCTTATAGTAGAGTAAAATAAGACTCCTCGTAGATCGTAAAATGCAACTAAGGGACAAATATGCGAGCATCAGGCCTCCCCAACCCGTCTGGCCAGCGTGGGGAGTGTAAGCCAAATCCTCCATTTGCGTCTGGCAAATTAGAGGGGGTCCTGCTCCTGCAGTGGAGACTAAAATGACCTGATGATAATCACAAGTTGGGGTGTCTAAACCAGTACTGGGCTAAATAGTGCTGCATTCTTCTTTCGTGTTAATTAAGAAGACTGTCAGTAATATAGGAAGTAATCAAAAACTATCATGCGGCCCTAACAATAATGTCAACAGCATTGTGTTCCAGCAATTGGAGTTATGATAGCCAATTCCTCTGTGGTTGAGGATTCCGCTTGAAGCTCGCTTCCATCTGATCGTCACTTTCCATCAACTGAGATGCAGGCCAAGAGCTTCCTCGTTATCAATAAAAATGTACCGACCTTTTCCATTTAATCCTGGCTTGGGGCAGATTATCGTCGTTCTCCTTGAAGAGATACCGTCGGATGCCGAGGTAGTAGTCCTGGAAGTAATCCCGCCAGTCCAGCTCCGCCATACTGAAGGGGAACAACTGGGAAAAGAATTAACACATGAAGATAAACTTTACACAGCTTGAAATTGAAATCCTTGGCATCCTTTTAAAATAAGACTACTTACTCACAAAGTAAGTACATTCCCCAAATATGAGACAAATCCGATGTGTTAAAACGCTAAAAATTAAATCCTTGTACAGACGACACATTATATTGCTAACACTGGAATCTTATTTCGATTTAATAGGTAGTATTATTTTGCAATGGGCAGGGCACATAGTACGCAGAACTGACGGCCGATGGGGCAACAAGGTTTTGGAGTGGAGGCCGCGTGCCGGAAAACGCAGCGTGGGACGTCCACCCACAAGGTGGACCGACTTCATCGTAAAGGTTGCGGGAAAGCGCTGGACGCAGGCCGCTACCAACCGGGTAACTTGGAAAGCATTGGGGGAGGCCTATGTTCAGCAGTGGACGTCCTACGGCTGAGATGATGATGATGATTATTATTTTGCAACATACATGTTTTTGCAACAATCATTTAATGTTAGCATTTAACACATTGGATTTGTCTCATATTTGGGGAATGTAGGTACTTTGTGAGTAATTAGTTTTATTTTATAAGTAGCAAGCAACCATCTACTACGTCAATTGGCGCCACTGTCAAGTTAGGTCTTCCCGCTCGCTTGTTAGCGTTAACAGCGGCGCCAACTGGTGATTGTAAATATTAGCGCCACTGCAGCACTGGTGAATATAAATAGTGTTACCATTTTTTCCATATTATCTTATCTGGTGTAAATGTACCTACATATTCTTAAGTACCTACCTGTTTATCTTCTTCGCTAGTCTTCTGCCACAGTTCTTGCGTTCTTCTGTTGCAGAACTCGATGTCCTTCGTACAGAAGTAGGACAGAACGTCGGAGAACTTGTGAATCTTCTTGTACACTTTCAGCATCCTGGAGAAGAAGGTTACGAATGACGTAAAATTAACCGTCTTTTCTCTTAAAGTAGCGCAAGAAATTCAGAAGGATTGTTTATACAAACACTTTCCTACATAGGTTACGTGTTTACCGAGAGTCAACTTTTTATTCTTTAGGTATTATTATTTTGCGGAGTTAATGTGGTTTAATGCATTAATCAATTGACTTTTCATATTTCCAGGTTGGAAAAGGTAAGTACCTACCTAACTAGCTATAAAGTGAATTTATAGATCGTTTCATCCACTAAGACGCGCCCCACCATTCTTCCGCTAATGTTTGAGCGTTATCGGTACATGCTAAATCATCCATGAGTACACACGCACACTACAATAATGACGCTCGGATTGCTCGGATCAAACTCCGCGTACCCCGCGCGACCGAGACTAAAAATTGGAGGGGCGCGTCTTCGTGGATGAAACCATCTAATGCCTAGTGCTACTTACTTTGGTTTCTTCCCTACACACACAGTCAGGCCGTCCATCAACACAGCCGGTATCAAATGCAAGAAGAACATGTAGAATCTGTTCAGCAGCCACGACTTAGTCAGTCTTAGGGATATGTACCTGTAATTCACAAATAAAATTACTTTTTTTGGACAATGTTTTTGTTTGTTTACTACTAGCGAGTGACAGGACCTTTCTTTATTTTTATTTTCAATCAAATCAGTAATTACGAAGTTATGATGCGTTATGAGAAGTTGTTGACAATTATGTATACCTGGGACAAACAGTCCAGTTAGGTAGGTCCAACTTCGAGAAAGAGGTCAATCGTCGAATCCAACTCGGATGGGCAGCGTTCGGGAAGCTTCGCCATATACTCACGTCCGAAATACCGCAGTGTCTTAAGTCGAAAGTATTTGACCAATGCGTGTTGCCAGTGATGGTATACGGATCTGAGACGTGGTCGTTTACTATGGGCCTCATAAGAAGGCTCAAGGTCACCCAAAGGGCGATGGAGCGGGCTATGCTCGGAGTTTCCCTGCGTGATCGAATCAGAAATGAGGAGATCCGCAGGAGAACCAAAGTAACCGACATAGCTCGCAGAATTGCTAAAATCAAGTGGCAGTGGGCGGGGCACATAGCTCGTAGAGACGATGGCCGTTGGGGCAGGAAAGTTCTCGAGTGGCGACCACGGGCTGGAAGACGTAGAGTGGGCAGGCCTCCTACTAGGTGGACCGACGATCTGGTAAAGGTCGCGGGAAGAGCCTGGATGCGGGTAGCGCAGGACCGTTCATTGTGGAAAACCTTGGGGGAGGCCTTTGTCTAGCAGTGGACGTCATTTGGCTGAAAAAGAAGAAGAAGATGCGTTGAAGTTCCGCGTGACGTCTCAAAGTGGTACACTTTTAAACACACCTTGACGTCATAGGCCTCTTCCTTTGAACTTTGGCGCTCTTTATCTCTTTCAATTTTCATTAGTTTGCAAAAGTAGGAAATACCTACGTGTCGAGTATTAAGTATTTGATAAGTTAACCGACGGACTAATTCAAACTCTTGCTTTTTTACCCAGGAAACATCCCTATTGTGAAACATATTGTTACTTTGAATAACTTCATCATCATCATCATCATTTCAGCCATTGGACGTCCACTGCTGCTGCCTCCCCCAATGCTTTCCATGTTGATCGATTGGTTGGTAGCGGCCTGCGTCCAGCGCTTCCTTGCTACCTTTATGATGTCGTCGGTCCACCTAGTGGGTGGACTTCTCACGCTGCGTTTTCCGATACGCGGCCTCCACTCCAGAACCTTGCTGCCCCATTGGCCGTCAGTTCTGCGTACTATGTGCCCTGCCCATTGCCACTTCAGCTTGCTAATCCGTCGGGCTATGTCAGCGACTTTAGTTCGTTTACGGATCTCCTCATTTCTGATTCGATCTCGTAAAGAAACACCAAGCATAGCCCTCTCCACTTCATCAAATACAGGGTGGAATTTTGTAATGCCATCTGGAGGGAAAGTACTCTTAATAATGTAGATAGAAACTCAAAGAAAACTTTCTTTTATTTTTGAAAAGAAATAGAACTGCATTCAAAGATTTCCGAATTTAAAAAAAAAATCACTAACTACCATGCCATACAATTTTCTGTAAATAAATTAAAATAATGTAAGATTTCATGGTTTCCTTTCACTTGATTTATCAAGTTTGTTAGAGAGATTTCATCCTTATACCTCACCCTAACGATCAATGCAATAAAAATACAGGGTGTAATTTTTAACAGATTTTAGTTGGGTCGACTCCTGGGTATGGCAGCAATTTGTTGAAAATCTTTGAATGCAGTTCTATTTCTTTTTAAAAATAAAGGAATGTTTTCTTTGAGTAAAATTTTCTATCTACAGTATTAAGAATACTTTCCGTCCAGGTGGCATTACAAAATTCCACCCTGTATATTGAATACTGAACTTCAGTGAACTTACCACACAGCGTTGGAGAAAGGATACTTGTCCACCTGCTCCATATTCAGCGTCATGAACTCGCCCCAAGTGATCTTATTCTCAACTGAGCTCACGTAATTGAATATCGGAGGCTCTGGCGGTGGGTTGCTGAAAAATCAAAAATGTCGGTTGAAGTTACTGCAGTAGGTAAGAGTTGATGGACCACTGCTCTGATCGGATTACGTGTCAAAAAATTATGTATGACGCGACGTTTGGTTCGTGTTAGTGAAGGTATAGGTACGGTGAGCATCGTTTCATCAATACATGACTACCTTCTTCTATGATATCCATTAACCCGTCCCACTGCTTGGATTAAGAGTGGCCTGTGTGGCATTTGGTACAAAATCGCTTGATTGAAGTTGCGTTATTTTGCCTATTTCAGACCGAGTTTCACTCGGAACCCTCAATCACAGCCTGGAAGAATCAATGCTGTTAACATTGTTGTTATGGTGACCGTATGAGTAAGGCTAGGCGGACTTAGTACAAACCCTACCACCACCAACCATATTGTACTAAAAATATTGCGTCCACTGGGTATCGAACCCGGAACAGGCGGCCCTATCGAGATGAACGTGGCCTAACTTATTAGAAATCTTAGAAGAAACTCGACTGCTCTCAATGGGAATCGATCCCTGTAACATGTGTCCCTAACCTCTCTTTCTCTATACCTCACCTCTGAGTATAAGCCGCGTTGACATTAACCGCCGCAGCCATGAGGCAGTTCACCACCATATCCACCGGCACCAGGTCAGCTGTGCCCTGCATGTCGCATTGCAGGGTTCGGAGGATGCCTGTCCCTGGAAAAATACATTCATAATCATCCTCATAATCATTTCAGCCATAGGACGTCCACTGCTGAACATAGGCCTCCCCCAATGGTTCCCAGATTGGCCGGTTTGTAGCGGCCAGCATCCAGTGCCTTCTTGCTACCTTTATGAACTAAAGCTATAGATCCTGGCTACACAGGAGTTGCAGCGGTGGGAACTAGAGGTGAGAATAGTCCCTGCTACCTTTATGAAGTCATCTGTTCTCACCTTGAGATGGACGTCTCATGCTGCGCTTGCTGGTTTTGGCCTAAATTGAGGAACCTTGCTGCCCCATCGGCCGTCAGTTCTGCGAGCAATGTGCCCTGCCCCTTGCCACTTCAGCTTGCTAATCCGTCGGGCTATGTCAGCGATTGCTTGATACTGCCACTATTGGGTACGTGACTATTCTTACCTTTCGTTTCCAGCGCTGCAACTCCTGTGCAGCCAGGATCTACAGCTTAACCGCTACTAGAAACCCAACCAGTGAAGGCACTCTAAGCTTTCAATTTGCTTTTAGATTTTTAGTAAAGTACTTAATCTTAACTTTAACGCCCGTATTCACAAACGATGCTTGCTTAAGTGAAGCAGCAAATCGAACGCACAGCGTTGAATAGAGCTCTGTGATTGGTTCGTGTGTCACCCTGTGCGTCCACGCACACTGTGAGACTTCATCAACATTTAAATAATAATGTTTTTCTTACCACTTCCCACCACGATGCCATTCGGTCCGTTCATATTGTCCAGCCAACATTTTACTGGTTCTTTTGCCGATGATACCACTGTAATAAAAGATTTTTGAAAAGTTAAGTTCAAAGGAATGCATTTTCGAAATGTAACGTTTTAGAAAATTTACTATGATTCTTAATCCTGTTCACTCTGTCCCGAAAGAAAATTAGGTTTTTTGAAATTTTCAGTTTTCAGGAACGCACTTTCGGAAAGTTAGGTTTTCAAAAACAGAGGTTCTCAAAAACATAGGTTTCCGTTAGTTCAAAGTTAATAATCGTTGTTCTCACTTACCTACAGCCGGCCTAAAGATCGCCAAGGGTATTCCTTTCGAGTTGATCCTTAATTCATTCTCAGCTAATGCTTTGGTCATAGTGTATGTGTTGGGGTATTCCCCTAGTAATCTGAAACAGAATAAGTAGAATACAATTGAAATTTGAAGCCACGATAGCCGAACGGTGAAGGGGTCGGACTGGTGGACTCAAGATCCGAGAAACGCGGGTTCGAATGCCACCGCGCCGGAGCCCACTCGTAACACAAGCATACAAAGCTTTCTACGAGGGGCTAACGGTAGTAGGTGAGATACAGGCCAAGAGCTTCCTCGTTGTGGATAAAAAAAATCTATTATGTAGTAATTTTTGCAAAAAACAAATAAATAAAAATCTTAAAAAAAATAAGTATCTAAAGATGGTTTTAGGCGACAAACGTATGGGCTTGTCGCGTAAAATAAGGCAGAAAAATCTCGAGTAGCTACGGGCTGGAAGACGTTGTGTGGGCATGTTTCCCACTAGATGGACCGACGATGTAGGTTGCGGGAAGTAACTGGATGCGGGCAGCGCAGTCCTGGTATTTGTGGAAATCCTTGGGGCAGGTCTCCCACTAGGTGGATCGACGATCTGGTGAATATCGTTGTGGAAATCCTTGAAGGAGGCCTTTGTCCAGCAGTGGACGTCATTTGACTAATATGAACAAACTAGGAAGATAAGAAAACGTAAACTTACTTAGATAACTGACTATTCATCTCCTCATCAGTCATCTTCTCTATGGTCTGGTTGAGGGTCTCCAAGTCCATTTTGCATGGGTAGAACTTCTCCTTGACCTGGTCAAGGTGCGAGTTGGAGTAGGCAGTCGAAATGTGCATTAAGACCTGGAACAAAAATAGTTATAGCGTCGACAAATAAATATTTCTCACTATCTTCCATCATTGTATCAAAATAACTTTATGGGAGCGGTGAGCACATTAAATGGGACTATTCCCACCTCTCGTTCCTAGCTCTGCAACTCCTGTGTAGCCAGGATCTACACCTTGACCGCCTTAAAAAACCCAACAAAAGAAGGTCAAGTTTGTCCCGGGGGAAAGTTTTTTAAACTGTGTGTGCACATTAAGGCGATTAGTGTCCTCAATCCGCGCCAAATGGGCATTTTGTAAAGCCTACTCCTCTTTTACTGCTGAATAGAAATAGTTGAAAAAAATATATGTTATACAACAGTTCAAGGACTACATTTGTGACGTTTGAATTTTCGCTACGTCTCTTTGTTTTGGATTAAAAAAATAAATACGGGACATCGATTTTTTACTTAAATTCCCTACTCCTCCAAAACGGCTATGTTAATTTAAAAGATTTTTGCACGAATAGATTGGGAATTCTTTAATCTTTAAATGACACGTTGCGTTTTTCAATCGAACATTACTTTCATTCATAAATTTTACTTTTCTATTTTCTAATTATCTGTCTGGCGGACAAATAATTGAAATTTTGTCATCTAGCCTAGTTGTCGTCAGGAAGTTGGTCTAATTCAGCTTGCAACTAATTCAGCTTGCAAGATTCCACCCGAACAAACATTTATGTAATTACCTACATACCTACATCATAAATTGCAAGCTAAATAAAAGCTTGTAATAAAGTCGGGTTTGTTCAAATTTCGAGAACGACTGAACCGACAAAAGCATTAGAAAATTTACGAAAAATAAAATAAAATTTTATCCCGTACAAAATGTTCATGGATTTTGTTATTTTTATTAAATACTTTTACGCCTGAGTTAAATGACACCGACATCAAGATTCATCAATTTAAGTTTAAAATAATAGGCAGTAATGTATGAAGAAAGAGCTTCTATTCTGTATCTACCTATGCCCGTGTATTTTTGATCGGTGTCAAATCGGAGTTTTTGGTGCGGGGTACGCGGGTGTTGCTCGCGGCGTGAAGGTCAAACGCCCAAGGTCATTGAGGACTCTAATCGCCTTAAGCGGGTGACATTGATATTTATGTATGTGAAAGAGCATACAAATAAGAAGCATAATCTGAAGTCTCACTGACGTTTGACCAGTGCCGGACTTAGAGACCCAGGACCTCTAGGCACATGGCATTTGTTTGGGGTCAGAGGCGGGGCAAGACCTAAATTTGATGTGGGCAAGACAGATTTCGCGAGGCCTTGTTCTGTGGCGACCTGAAGACGGATTTATGTATAAAGAAATAATAAAAAAAAGGGTCAAAGGTCTATACATTGACAGTTTCTGATTTCTTGATTCAGTGATTATTTTTAAAGGAATATTGCGCCAAAGAATAATGTTCGTCACTTAAAACCGTGTTGTTGCTTAATTTTGTGTCTGATTATGGCTGAATTTGTTTGGAAAAAAATATATTTTTATTTTTAACTACATTGTTTAGCTATCAAGAATTTATATTTAATAGTCAATGTTCGTATTGTGATATTGTCATCTCCACCTTGTATACATTTTTTCAAAATTTTTGATGCGCGAGGCCCCTTGTACCGCGAGGCCGTAGGCGGTGGCCCACGTCGCCTACGCCTTACGCCGCCTCTGTTTGGGGTCCTATCCTATCGAACAATTAAACTTTTTAATAAGGAAAACCAGACTCTTTTGAGCTTATGTTTTCACCACTGAGGGCCCCTTAACAGGCTGGGCCCCTAGTTAGTACGTTCGTTCCAGCCGAAAGACGTCCACTGCTGGACAAAGGCCTCCCTTAAGATTTTCCACAAAGACCGGTCCTGCGCCGCTCGCATCCAGCAGGCACCTCCCGCGACCTTCACCAGATCGTCGGTCTGCCTAGAGGGAGACCTGCCCACGCTACGTCTTCCGGCTCGTGGTCGCCACTCGAGAACTTTTCTGCCCCAACGGCCATCGTCTCTACGAGCTATGTGCGACGCCCACTGCCACTTGATTTTAGCAATTCTGCGAGCTATGTCGGTCACTTTGGTTCTCCTCGAAGGTGGATGATGTACTCGCCGTTGATATTTATGTCGAATCCGCTCCAGTCCAGAAGCTTGAAACATCTTCCAGGGCGGTGGTGAACAGTTTCGGAGCTGACTGGGCCCCTAGGCCCGAGCAAATTCGGCGCTGCATTTGACGTCTCAAAAACTTCCCGTGCCGTTCCCATACCTGAGGCATTGACTGAGTTAAGTGTAAACCTATACTTACGTCAAGTCCCTTAATATCCCTTGCTAGCCGCAGCACGTGCAATGACGCCTTCACATTGACGTTGAACGCCAGTCGCAACTGCTCGTCGAACTTGACAGTCGCTGCTGAGTGGAAGATCACGTTCACCTGGAATATCATCATCATCATCTCATTAAAACTAATTTTAGTTTTGCAAGTAGGCTTTTAAAAAGCACTTTTACACGTCCCAGTATTAACCCTACCACTGCTTCGGGACAATAAATGGGCCAGTGCTGAGAAGAAGCAGCGCGAGAAACTCAATCACAGTTGTCAGCCTCTTTTTCAAGGGTTTATACCTACCTAGTTACTTAAAGAAGAGTCTTTAAAATACCATCATCAATATAATATGTAGTAGCCTTTTTTCAGTGGCTCGTGAGTTTGTTTATTCATCTAATGCAATATAAATAAACTAATTATGTAATTGAATTGCTCGTTTTTTATTTACACTACGCGGGGAATGCCAGGCGATAGTTAAATACCTTGTTCTACTAACAAGGCAGGTATTTCGCCGGAAATACATTGATCAGTCTAGAACGATCCATGACAATGTTCCTTCCCTGTAAATGCCTATCCACTCTCACCTTGAAGAGGCTCGGATATTTCGGATATCCTTACTTTTGTTAAATAAATCAATACAGCCTCTTGACTTTTTTGTATTTGCTCAAGCTTTCCGAGGTCTTTGTATGTTTGCTTACAATAAAAACTGTGTATTTTGCTTTTGCATGTTTGCCTGGCCTTCAAAGTGTAAACTTACACAGGCCAAAGTATCTGCGTCCAAAGTGTACTAAAGTTCGTACCATTATTTTATTCAAAAAAGTGTATTTTTACTCGTATTTTGAGCAAGCTTCAAATATTTTGACGAATGTCACTATGTGATATCACTTAGATTCTATCAGGTTGGCCACTCACTTTAGAAATGCGTGTATTTTTAATAGTGAGAGGTAAAATTTCCAATATTAAGAGGTAAACTTTGTAACTTTGTTTTTTTTTTAGCTAGCTAGTAGAACTCACCTTCTCAGTTAGCGTCTGTCTATCAGACAAGGTCAGACCGAGTCCCGCCGCCTCGCAGTCAGCTGGTATCACCACAATCTTGTGCCTGAATTTAGGCACTTCTTCTTTTAGGCGGTCGAAAACCTGGAAAAGGAAAGAAGATAAAGTAACTAAGTAAACTTGCTTAATATGTAGGATTGTAGGCCATTTTCAGGGCACTTAAACGTATCAAACTCTACCACCACTTCGGGATTCATATAGGCTGGTGCTGAGAAGAAATGGCGGAAGAAACTCAGTCACCTTTCTTAACCTCTTATTTAATTTATTTACAAGAGCGAGCTAGAGGCTTGTAAATTAAATTAAAAAAAAACTTTAGATATCCTTTTTTCATAAAGATTGTCTGAGCTGAGTAGTACCACCTAACTTTAACTGTAACTATAACCGGTGTGTTTTTTTAGACGTTCGTAATAGTTTTAGTAAGATGGTGTGCTACCAAAATGTACTAGGCAGTTCCATGAGAGATTGTGGTACTTTATCGAACATTTTATACTATTCCCCAAAAATGAGCTAAAGCCAAGTTTAATATTAAGTGTTTAGCACTAAAGTTTTTTCAGAAAATCACCTCTCGACTCTCTATAGTTCACATGTTCGGTAGGAAATCCCCACTTCATTCATCAAATATTAACTCAAGTCTCAAGATCGTGTGGTCCGAGTACCTACATTTCCTTTGAGATGAGGTCATTCAAAAGTTTGTAAGTACTCTGTCAATATTATTTAATTTAAAAATTGCAGTAAGGTTACTGGAAAACACGTGATTTAGCTGTATTATGGCACTCAACGACACTTTTTTAAGCATCTGTGGCTCTAAAGGACGAAGCACACTTATCAACTCCGGAAACGGATCGTAACCGTATCCGTATCCGTGTCAACTCGAGGCGGTCAGTATTCTTTGTATGAAACCTATACTGCAACGCACACTTATCCGCACCGTAATGTAAACGCCTCGCCTCGCGATTCACATCGAGCCAAAAGCAATAATTATGGTGTTGATCCCTTTCTGGGTTGATAAGTGTGCTATGACCTTAAGACAGTAAAGCCAAGAAGATTATATACTTACAGGGTCATCGAATATTTCTTCTATCCTGGTGTAGATGTCCTTCCCGCGTTTCTGTCTGACCAACAGGTATAAGTTTTCAACCCCAGGGCAGCATCGTAGGAGCTTCTGTACTAGAATCTTCCCAAGGAACCCTAAAACAAGAAAAAAAAGTATTATTTGTTGATTGCTGAACGATAAGGCCTACAGTCAGATACCATCAGAAAAAATTACATCAATATTACTGTCATTCCTTCCTATATGACATTCTAAGGCTGCACTGGGTTGCACCATCTTACTTTGACGTCAAAAATCTGTCAAACTCAATACAAAAAACACCGGTTATCGTTAAGTTATCGTCAAAGTTAGGTGGTGCAACTCAGCCTAAATTTCCCCACATCTTCATTTCAACCACCACTCTGTCAGTAACGGGACTATTCCCACCTCTCGTTCCCACCGCTGCGATCCTGTGAACCTTAACTTCGAACTCCTTCTATGTTCTTCTGATTAATTTCGTTGCTGGTCCAATGATAGTTTAACTTTCCCCCGGGACGAACTTGACCTTCACTGGTTGTGTTATTGGCGGTCAAGCTGTAGATCCTGGCTACACAGGAGTTGCAGTGGTGTGAACGAGAGGTGGGAATAATTCCGTTATTAAATGCACAAAGTAACTAAGTACACAAATATTCTTAAAAAAACCTTGCTTACCCGTAGCACCAGTAATCAAAATATTCTTTCCGTTATAAAACTTCTGAATCTGCGTCAACTCTACGTTATTTCTCGTGTCAGTATCGTTATTGTTGTCTATTTTCAACGACGCGTCGTTATCGTTGTCGTTGCTGTACGCCATGGCTGGTATTTTGAAGGCCGCGTCGTCCCCAGGTGTTGAATCGAGGAGAGGAGCCATTTTTGTTGGTTACTGCTTTGTAGACATTTTCTGTGGACAAAATTGAGTAGTTAAAATTAATGTTAATTTGATTAAGGGCACATACTTAGTACGCAGAACTGATGGCTGATGGTTCCCACCGCTGCAACTCCTGTGTAGCCAGGAACTACAGCTTGACCGCCGATAACAACCCAACTATTGAAGGTCAAGTTTGTTCCAGGGGAAAGTTAAACTGTCATTGGACCTGCAACGTCCACCCACAAGGTGGATGATGACCTAATAAAGGTAGCGTGAAGGCGCTGGATGCAGACCGCTACCAACCGGTCACTATGGAAATCATTGGGGGAGGCCTATGTTCAGCAGTGGACGTCCTATAGCTGAAATGATGATGATGATGGTGATTAGCTTGAAGTATTCCTAATTGTAATCTCTAACAAAGAAAAAGTCACTTCACATCATCTTTCAATTTAAACACACACACACACAATTGTTTGCATATCTTCTAATGATCATCCTGAAAATTAACTATTAAAACTCTCTAAAAATATCTAGATTTCATTATTTCAGCTACAAAATAAAAAACTACACACTCGGCTTTTTGCAGAACACTTCAAACGAGATGTTTGTTAATAACTAAGTACTAAGTATTTTATTTTATCTAGGATAACAAACAATTGTACAATTCAGATATGCAGTAAAAAGGATCCTGCAAAAAACGGTTCCTGCGAAACTACTCACCTTAGTAAAAACAATAGAGCTTAGAACACGATAAAATCCATTTTTTTTGAGTCAAAGTTAACTAAAAATTGTTTTTTTATTAAAAGCTTACAAATTTTTATAACTCTTAATAGATTTGCTGTCTATTTATCTATTTATTTAACAGTTAATAGTCCAGGCTTGATCGATTAGTTGTCTATAGTTGTCGATCAGTTAAAAATTTAGATCCAACTGAGGTCTTGCGGTTTTAAACGCTAAATATAAGCTCCACACGCATTGTTTGGACATAGGATTTGAGACCCGTATTTATAAACGATGCTCAAGGTTAATGCTTGAAGAATGCTAAACCACAGAACCGATTTTGATGAAATTTGGCATAGAGATAGCTTGAATCCCGGGAAAGGACATAGGATAGTTTTTATCCCGGTTTTTGAAACAGGGACGCGTGCAATGACGTTTTTCTGTGACAGACAAAATACCACGCGGGCGAAGCCGCGGGCGGAAAACTAGTTTATTATAAATAAAGGTTACTTATAATTTGCTTGAAGTACAATTTGTTTTATGAACAGACACCTAGATATTGTGGCATCTATGCCTTTCTAATACGAGCGATTTTTTAACAAAATCGTCTATGACATCTGTACTAAAAATACGACAGGTTTATGAATAGGATTATAATATTTAAGCATGACGCATGTACACATTAACTACGAGTATTTCCCCCAGTGCATACAATGTACCTACTTCGGCCTAATTTCATTATCATCATCATTTCAGTTGCAGACGTCCACTGCTGAACATAGGCCTCCCCCGATGATTTCTACATCGCCCGGTTGGTAGCGGCCTGCATTCAGCGCCTTTATTAAAATTAAAACTTTACATAAAACATGGGCAGGGCACATAGTACGCAGAATTGACGGCTGATGGGGCAGCAAGGTTCTGGAGTGGAGGACGCGTACCGGAAAACCCACAAGGTGGACTGACAACCTAATGAAGGTAGCAGGAAGGCGCTGGATGCAGGCCGCCACCAACCGGCCATTGTGGTAATCATTGGGGGAGGCCTATGTTCAGCAGTGGACGTCCTATGGCTAAAATGAAGATGATGATAATAAAACATTACAGAGTGTGAAAATTCCACGATCATCCATATGGTAGAGTAGAGTAAAACCACTCCCACTCTTACCGTGGATGTCGTAAAGGCGACTAAGGGACAAATAATGCGAACATCAGGCCTCCCCAACCCGTCTGGCCAGCGTGGGGAGTGTAGGACAAATCCTCCATTTGCCTCTGGTCAATTAGAGGGTCGTGCTCCTGCAGTGGAGACTGAATGATCTGATGAGGAAAAATTATAGATTGTATTGTTTATTGAAAGAATAAGAATGCGTCATTCATTGCGTTTATTTTCGACGAAATAGCTCTACCTTCAATGGTTTCAATACTGGGAAAGACTTGTTTGAATTAGCAAGTATTTGCAGTGGTTAATGTGTTAAGTGATGAATGTTTAATCAAGATATTTTTTTTTAACCTCTCGTACTAAGCTAAATGGGCACTTCTTCGAAATCGCATTCTTCGGCTGATTCATATGGACAAATTTCAAATTCAATTTTAGGTTTGTAACATAGACTCATATGAAAATAGGTACACCCAATAACATATATTTGGATAAGGGACTCGTTTTTGTAAAGTAGTTTTCAAGATATCGACGTTCAAATATTTTGTGCCCATATGAATCAGAATTTGTTACATATTAATCAAAAATAGAAATAAAATTTATGATATTCATGTACAATTGGCTCTAAATTAAGAAAATAATCATATTATAACAAAAACAATGATCTGTTGTTATGAAAAAATGCAACGATTCCAAAATAATTCGTGAAAAATCATTTTTTTGAAACTTTATTATACATCCATAATATTTTGTCATCATCATAATCATTTCAACTGAACATAAGCCTCTCCCAATGATTTACATAATGACCGATTGGTAGCAGCCTGCATCCTGCGCCTTCCTGTGGGAGGACGTTCTACACTGAGCTTTCCGGCACGTAGCTTCCACTCCAGAAACGTGGTATCCCATCGGCCATCATTTCTGTATACTATGTGTCCTGCCCATTATCACTTCAGTTTGCTAAAACATCGGACTATGCCACCATGCGACTTTAGATCGTTTACGGATCTCCTCATTTCAGATTCGATTGCATAAAAAAAACAAGCATAGTCCACTCCATAGTACACTATGCAACTTTGTGGTTCGTAAGCCTACAGTGAGAGGCCGCTTTTCAATACAATTTGTCATCATTGATAAACACACACTGGATGTAGACTTTCATCTTATGGCACTAAGGTATTTTAGATGACTCTACCGAGCTGTATCACTTATCCAAGCTATTGTTGTTAAGACGTCCACCTACAAGGTGAAGAAGGTGAGATGAGCTTATAGAGGTTGTGGCAATGGCAATCAGTTAATCTCGAAATCATTGGAGGCCTATGCTCAGCAGTTTAGTATTATGTGCTATGGACGCCATAAGTGTAGCTGAAATAATAATAAAAATAAATAAATCGTTGGGCAATTTCATACAGCGCCATTTAGCTACAAAATAAGCAACAAATATGCTTGTGTTATGGTTGCTAGCTTAACGGATATACTACTTATTTACTGTTTAAACACAAATGATAATGTTTTTTTTATTCATAACAAGACCGCAATCGCCCCTGGTCTTAAAGTGATATGCAGTCTGGGATGTCATTCTTAATTAAAAAACCCTTTTTTGGTGCTTGAAAGATCAAAAACTAATTTATTTTATGATTCATATAGGGCCCTGACCATATGAATCACGCACAGATAAATCAGTTTTTTGCCTAAAATCGAGCAAAACTCGTCATACATACAGACTACAGTGTTGTCATTTTTCTACATGAATCTATAACCCAAAAGCATCACAAGAAAGACAGATTAGATTTTTAATGCAATAATGTAATTTTATAAAGTAGGCATTGTAATCAGCATGCCACCTGAACCAAGCACAGATGAATCAAGTATTTGCCTTCGTCACACCGGGTTCTAAGCCAACCAGCTCCACGTCTGCCTTCTAGATCATCCGTTGCAAGATGGGCTTGCCTCCACGCCAGAAACCAGACTCTCATGATTAAAACCTGACCAGTTATGGTCAAGAACAGCTCACGCCATATGAATCAGTATTTTATGCCGGACACTGCTTATTTATTTTTTTGCGAACAAACTAACTTAATTAAAATTATGACACATTTTTTTTGTAGAAGAACAACTCATTAGCTTTCGAAATAATTTTAATTTATATTGATATATGAAAAGGAAAATGCTACATCAACCATTTTGTTCCGGAAAATGGCTAACGGACACACCATATTAATCAGAGAATCACACTTCAAATATTTTTATTTTGTATAAAGACAGCAATTATGTAAAAAATGTAATTTGCGCCAGATAGGGCTATAGCTAAGCTATACGAAAAAAAATATTTCATGCCATTTTGTTAGTTGGTTACAGAACTATACCCAAAGACATCGAAAATTTTGCCTCCGAAGAAATACCCAAATATGCTTTCGGGACTTTTTCCACCGCTGCAACTCCTGTGTAGCCAGGATCTACAGCTTGACTCCCAATAAAAACCCAACCAGTGAAGGTCAATCAAGAATCTCTAAACATATTTCATCACAATCGGTTCAGTGGTTTATCAAAAAGTCTGTAGTTTGCGGCTGGGTTGCATCATCTTACTTTAATTTAACAAACGTCAAGAATCTGACTTACATACAAAAACACCGGTTCTTGTTATAGTTACGGTTAAAGTAAGTTGGTGCATCTCACTCTAACGCCCGTTTTCACAAACGATGCTTGCCTAAGTGACGCAGCACATCGAACGCACAGCGTTGAATAGAGCTCTGTGATTGGTTCGTGTGTCACCCTGTGCGTCCACGCGCACTGTGAGACACTGTGATACTGTCGAATACAGGGTGTCCCAAAATTTGCACGTCACACTGACACCAGAGGTAAATGAGCTTAAGACGCATCTAAAAAGTATATTAAGTCCATTTTTAAAAATAACTAATGTGAATGTTTCAAAACTCATCAAACTTTTCTATGGAAATGAAAAAATAAAACTGGTCATTATGAAACTTTTCTATGGGCATATTAAGCTTGTTCGATGCGTCTTAGCCTTGGCGCAGAACGTTGATTTTTCGTAGGCCGATAGTTTAGTCGGACAGTTGATCAGTATGGGCATGTATGGGCATGTAAAGTGCGCACATTAAGCCGATTCGATTTGGCCGATTCTTCATACAATTTAAAATGGGGCACAACTATTGGCCAACTAAAAATCGGTGGTCTGCGCCCTAGTCTTAGACTCAGCTACCTCCAGTGTCAGTGTGACGTGCTAATTTTGAGACACCCTGTATAGCTCATCGCGCATGCGTACGCGATAAAGCTGACGTAACTAGCACTTTCTTTTGTGGCCTTGAAGCTCGTTCATGATCGCCTGACGAATGGGACCGCCGACCCAGTTGCAGTTTGGTATTTGGTACGCAGAATAATCAAATCAAATTAAATCAAAAATATTTTATTCAATTTTGACCACGGGTGGCACTTAAGGCGATGCCACGCGAATATTGGGCGTTTTAAAGAAGCGCAGAATTAGTTTTAATCGTACTTTTCCTATAACTTATGTTCTTATTTTGAAATATGTCATAGTTGACAAATAAATCTAGTATGTGGCTAAAGCCGAAACATGAATGGAAACAATTTTCTCGATAGAAAAAAAATCTAANTTAATAGTCAAACGAACTTACCTGTACGTGAAGTTCGACTGTAATTATGCGAAGTTGTTGTCTCGTCCGAAGATGATGAAAGATAACTAGTGTAGTCCCGGCTTACATCCTCTGGCGTCACACAATTTTAAAGCTAAAATAAAATATTTCTGAACGCAGTCGTACCTAGGTCCCACCACGCCATCTATACCTGTCAACTCATTCAAGTTTAAAGTAATTAGGTTTAATTTTACAACTGGGGCGTTTTGTAATTACTTACTCTTAATTATTACAATAACCAAGGGTTTGGGTGGGACTCATCATCTTCGGAC